CTTAAATGGAAACATTCAGATAAGAAAAGCGGTTGAAATATTTAAAGCCATGTGAAAATATAAGATTCTCTTGGAAAGAGAAGAAAACTAAGTAGAAACTATTGTCTAGCAACATGTACGACTTTGCCCATCTCTCAGCTTTACTTTTTCTCTGTATGAGCAAACTCACCTCTGGTTTTGTCAAGTCTAAGAAGCCCTTATTTGTTCATGTGAAATTCTAGCAGGACATTTCAAACTCAGTAACTGTCATACAGTGAGCCTATGCTTCAAACAAGGTGGCGAATAAATGGAACTTATACAGAAAGTTTTCCTTGTTAACATGAGGACTGCAACGAAAGGCTCTGGGTACATTATAAAGAGAATAGGAGCAAGAGTATGCTAATTGAGGTTTCTCTTAGCAGAACTGAGAGCCAAGAGAGTAAACCTTTCCATAGCCGCCAGATCCAATTTCATTGGCTTCTGAGAAGTTGTTGGTGTATTTCTTAAGCTCTTCAAGACAAAACCATCTCGCTCCTTTGAGTTGGGGAATACTGCCGCTGCTCTTATTCGGGTCCCAGTTTACTGCATTCCAAAAATAACAACAATATTGACCGAGACTAACTTCCAAAATCAGAGACAAGCTAAGTAAGTGGCAAGTCTGCAGTGAATCTGCCCATACCAAAAGGGTTGCTTTGCTCTGTAGCCTTTTCTGCTCTTTTCTTTTGACGAAAAGCATAAATCCCTACAAGAGCCAATAGCGAGAGGAGAACAAAACCACCAGCTGCTGCACCAACGATGACTCCGATGTTTGACGATTTTTTGGATGCAGTTGGCACTTGTACTTCTGTGAGTGAGAAAGAGGGAGAGAGATTGTTGTTAGTATGATGAAGAAATAAAGACAATCAAAATGGACAAGGCAGCGGACCGTATGTCTCTGTTAAATAATTGGAGATATTACCAGCAAAGTACGTGTACTGATGGCCGATGAAATAGAAAGGCCCGAATAATTTTGACGGCTTGTAGGTCTGATTACTGAGCACAAAGCCGATACTGTTTATGCTAGTCCTGTTGAAACTAACCCCCTCAGATGGGAAGACCGCGAGGTTCAGTTCAAGGTAATCAGATGAATCCTTGTGTGGATAGCTCAGCGAGACAATATCTACCGGAAGTTGATAGGACTGAAAGAAAATCATCATGGAGCTTGCGAGGATTTCGAAATAAGTCGAGTTTCCTAAACCTGAGAAAGAAGGAGCTCTGAAGACTAAAGTTCCTGTGTAAGGATAACTGCATTTACAGTTGGGGCTGGAAGTCTGATTTGAATTGCAAACGGCTGGGATGCAATTATTAGGCGGTGTCGAGTATGAGGAGGTGTTGGATTGTGGAATGGTACAGTAACTTAGCCCAGCTGCTCCTGTTTCTTGACAAACTGGGTTACCGATAAGTCTGCAGAAATGCAATTATATGTGCAAAACATTAGCAAAACAAAACTGTGAAAAAAAAAGCATTGTCGATTCAGCTTGTGACAAAGTGAGTGAAAGGGGCAAAGAGCTTTATATGACTTACATCACCTCAACACTGTAACCTGTAGTACTCTGCTTGAAGTTATCAATAAAATTGATCTGCAAATCGATGAGTTGCAATTGATTGCTATGGCTGGTGCCTATATCCAAGGTTCCATTCAGCTGGTTGTTTTTTAAGACCCTGAAATCACAGGAAAATTCACACGTTCAGCCATCATCCCTAATGTCCAAGTTGAAATGCACCAGGAAGTCAATTGAATGAAGCAGGTCGAGTTTTGAAGAAGTATATGTCCATTACATTGAGGTAAATATTTGAGATCTAGATGATACTTACACACTTTGCAAACTGAAAATGCTGAAAAGGAAGACAGGTAGCCCTCCTCGAAGTTGCGTGTGTTCCAGTATTCTGAAATTGATAAAAGGTATAACCCTATTATTTACTTAGATATCTTCTATTTTATCCTTAAAAAAAGGAAAGAGATGGCTAGTCCAAAACCCAGAACCAGAAAACAATGAAATGTCATGTTTCATTTCGAGGGGGCCGGGGGGGAGTTGAAGTGAATTGATGGAGGCAAAAGACAGAGATTGGGAAACGTACAATGTTGTCAAAGAATGTAATGTTGGAATCCATGAAGGGAAATCTGTTGCGTCAAAACTGTTATTGCTTAAGTCCCTGAAAATCCACCTTTGTCAGTTGCAGTCCATGTTTTACATAGTCGTAGTGGGACAATAAGCAATGGCGAATTCAAAATTAAGAAAAAGAGTCTAAGATTATCTTTTACATTTCACCATGTGCTCTGTTTCCCTCAGAGAACTCATAAATGATCAGCAATTACACTGTACGCGATTAGCTAATTGTAAGACAATTATTACTTACAGGTAGTTGAGGGCCTTCATGCCAGCAAGGTTTGGCAACGGACCAGTTAGCCCATTGTTGGAAAGAAGACTAAAAAGTAGACCAGTAAATTTAGGAGATTGATTATAGTGATATGCGCTAGAAAACAGTGAAATGACACGACCAGAATTATGTTTTGCTTACAGTTCTCGAACAGATGTAAGATTGTTGAGATTTCCAGGGACTGCATCACTTAAAAAGTTCCTATCAAAGCGTCTGTGACCATTGAAATAGGTTAAACATTGACCTGAAGTGCAATGAGCACAAGGGAAGTAATCCTCATGAGGATTGCGTAGAACCGTAAGTACTCACACAACTTCCAAACTCTGCACCAGTCCAAGAGTGGAAGGGATGCTACCTGTGAGCTGATTGTTGTCAAAAAGCCTGCCCAGTTAAAGAAGTTCATGAGGATTTCTATCTTAGAATAAACGATAAGCAGGCAATTGCCTTCTCCACTTTCCACTGCGTCTCTCCTAGAAAGATGCTTTAAGTATCAAGAGAGGATAACAAAGATGTGCAGTGGAGAGAGAGAGAGAGAGAAGATCTAACTTTCTTTACATAATGCTTGAGAAGCCTCAAGGAAACAATGAATAGACCAGATGCAGCGCCCTAGTGGATTCTCAGAACTTACACATGTATGAGATGCATCTCAGAACTGAATAGTTGGGAAGGAATTGTGCCAGAGAGTTGATTCTGTCCAAAATGACTGTGCATGAAGGCAGAATATTAGTCAGATAACACAACAAAGGCGAATCAGTTCACAGATACAGCTACATGATAAGCTAGAAGACATGCACATACAAGTGCTTCGTGTGACGTAGCATATCAAGGCCAGGATTACTTCCATTCGATACTGGAATAGATCCAGTTAGCTGATTGTCAGCTAGATCCAGCCAGTAAAGCCCAGAAAGGTTACCGATGGTAGCGGGAATCAGCCCACTGAATCTATTTGAAGTTAGAGATCTGCAATATATTGGAAGGATGAGTTCCGATACATGCGATGACCAGGAGAATAATGCATGACCGAATTAAGCAAAACATGTTCTAGCTTCTCCAAAAACTGATCATGTACATGTAAGGTCCAAATCAAGTGTATGGGTTAGAGGACTTACAAAAACACCAGGTTCTGTAGAGATCCAATGGAATTTGGTATTTGGCCAGAAAATCCGCAACCAACCAGGATTCTTGCATTTTGAGATGAAAAGGCAGGTTGGTCATTTTTTACTTTGAAAGTCAGGGGACACAGAATATACTAGAAATGCTGATGATATATAGCTTACAAGCTCGTGAGCTTCATCAAGTTTCCAATTCGTACAGGCAAAGATCCAGTCAGACCCTTGTTGTAAGATAGGTCCCTTCATGAAAGGCTTATTATACTCAGCAACAAATAAAAGAAGGCCATTTCAAGCAGCTTAAACAGATAAAAGACCAAATCGTAGACAAGAATCCCGCTACTTGCACAATATTGACAGCTCCACATGCAATTTAGGACACATGGGAGAGAAGAAAGCACAAGAATATAGATAAGACTTAAGAGAACGAAAGAAAGAAAATGTCAACCCGAGCTGACGTGGAAAAAGAAGATGACACGTGGATGACAAGTTGGAAAAAATTTGTCAACAATTGGACAGAAAATTAACCAGGGCAGATTTGAGTTTGAAATGAAAATTTGTGATTTTTTATGAGATAAAAAAAAGTTTAGGGCAGATTTGGGATTACAATTAAAGTTTGTGTAATATATTTCTAAATTATCTTTTGGTAGAAAAAGACTACATAAATGGTAATTAAGTCCTTGCTCCGAACATAAACTGGAAAGTGACGGAGATAGTGAACTTACAGAATCTGTAATTCAAATAGTTGTCCAATGTCTCCCGAAAGTGAACCTGTCAAACCCATGCTCGACAACGTTCTGAAATTAAGAGAGTCCAATTAATTGCAGATATAGATAGAATTATTAAGCGCAGATTGTCAAACATAAAGTCAAAAAAGATGCTCAAAAACTTACATGGAAGTAATTCGAGAATTGGTGCAGCCAATCCCATCCCAAGCATCGCCACAAGGATCAGTCCCCACCCAGTTGGGTGGTGTATTTTGCCATTCACTCATGAGGCCCATAATCGAACCGACTGCATATAGAACCAATTGAATAAAGAAAAATTAATAAATAGATATGTGTGTGTTCATCAAATGGCAATTATCCAACATCTTCTGTATAAATCTGAGGATCCCAAAAGTTTCAAGGGCAAGTTGCTACAAAGTCGTCATCCATCTATTATCCAAGAGTGCGCAAGCAGGAAAATGAAAAATTGGAAGGATAGATACATTATCCGACAGCAGGCTACTCTAAAAATGTCCGGAATTTTGGTTGCTTGAATAGCAACCAACAGCATGATCTTTGTACCAGAGGGGTGTCTTTGTAGCTGAGGACTCCCTTATCTAACGAAAGTAGCATGATCTTTGTACCAAAACAAAATCCGTGTAGAATGACCTGAATGTAAGATAAGGAATTCCAAGTCCAGAACATGCTTAAAGAACAATAAGAACACTATATAAGGGGAATAAATTTTATAATATTGTGAACCCACTTTAAATACTACGAAGAGTACATTTACTCAGTCGACGCATTGCAATATTCGAGATCTCCAGTCCTCACTTATCTTCTGAAACACAGGCAAAAGGGAAGGCAATAAAGCCTTCATGGATCAAAGAGGCGGGAAAAAGGGGTGAAAACAGATTTAGATCACCTCAACAATGCTAATGTTGATAGGAATACAGGAAACATCGATATTTCAAGAAAGTTGAGTGAACTAGGGTTCTTATAATTGGTTGTGGACAATTGGTCAACTCTGATTCCTGCAAATGTTGTGACATCCTCTGACTAGGAGGAACTCAGTTCATCTAAGTGGGCAATGGCTCGACAATATGCAAAAAGTCCAGGCGAGCGGAATTGTGCAACTCGCAAATTCACCTATATGAAATGATACATTTTGGAAAATAAACGTCAAGAAAGTAGTTGAACCAAGCTTACAATCGTAAGGATGTGTAGCTGCATCTCCAATGGAATCTCCAAGGAGAACAACTAGCAGAATCGCCAGAACTCGCACACCCATGACTCGGAATCTCGAAACTTGGAGAACTCAAAGTTGTTCTTTCAGCTTCAGCAGTTGCATCCCATTGAATTCTTCATCAAGAGACCTCAACTCGGTTGACATGATGGCAAAATGAAAAGGCTGGTTGCCAACTCCCAGCATATCTTTCTTTCCTAGCAATCTTTTCTTTTTTTTCTTTCTCTTTTCTTATCAAAGAAAAGAAAAAGTATTATCCGTGACAACTTTGGATTGGCGTCTCGTTGATCCGATTGACAGGCAATGCGAACATCAGCACAACAGAACCATACTCGTCTGCATTTCTTTTCCCCAAGTGCTCCATTTATTTTAATGGGGAGGAGTTTACTCAGTCAACACCAAGCGACAAAGTCCAAACAGTTAAGAAAAGAGAAGATGAGCACCGAAACATGGGTTGAAGATGAAGGAAAAAATGTGGAAAACGACAAGTTGACGAAAGAAGTACCCTGTCCGCGCCAACGTTGGCGACAGTAGGTCACGTAGTAGCAGAGTCAACGAATGTCTGGTTGTTTTCGAAAAATCATTCGACTGAACTGGGCCAGAATTTAAAACTATGCATGCATACGTTGCTTGAGACATGCAAAGATTAGGATGTGATAAAGATTGGATTGGATGGGGGAGGAGGAAGATCCATATTCAATGCGATGTGATGAGCAGAAACTTTATAATGGACAATCATGAAGTCAATAAGCATATATTAAATGAAAGAGTCATGGGATAGATAGGTAAATTGAATGTAATTGCCTCTAATTCCCGTCTTTGATTTAGATGAGATTGAATTTTTTGTTGCTTGTGAGCTTTTTCGCACCCAAGACGATTCTACTGCTCCGTAGAAAAAAACCGATCTTATTTCGTGCTAGTAGATTTCTTTAAGATTTGATTAGCATCAGATTATCAGTAACTTATGGATAACTTAACGAAACTTTTATCAGATTGCTAACACTTTTTGAGAGATTAAAATTCTCGATTTTTCTCATTTTTTACTAACTTTTGTTTTTCTTTCTCACCAACATCTTAAATTTATCAACTCTTATATGAATTTATCAATCTACATTTCATCAACTTATCAAATTTTTTTAATTAAATTACCAAATTAGTTTTTGGTTATTAATTCTTGTTTGAGTTAATTACCAATATGCATTAAAATATTTTTATTTAATTTACCAATTTTTGTTATCATTTATCAACTTTTCTTTTTTACAAACGTCTTAAGTTTATCAACTCTCATGTGAATTCATAATTTTCCTTGGTGTAACTTACCAGTTTGTCTTTCAATAGGTTACTAACTAGTTTTGGGTTAACAAATCTTGTCTGAGTTACCTAGCAACTTTTATTTGTTTTAGTTTAATTTACCAACTTTTTATCTTGCTTACAAATTAGTTTAATTTACTCATTCTTTTGAGAAATCATTAACCTATTTAGAGTAATAACCTACTTTTACTTGATTAAGATATCAATACGTTTTGTGTTGAGTTAGTTACGGACGTTTATGAATTTATTTATAAATTGCCAACTTATATCACCTCTAATAAAAAAATTTCTCTTATATTTTAGAAAATTTTATTTGCATTTCTTACCGGCATCTTAAATTTGCAAACTATTATATTAAATTACTAACCTTTTGGGAAAACACCACCAAAAACTCCAAACTATGCCACTTGTGACAAATTTACCTTTAACTTTTTTTTGTGACACGAAAAACTCCAATTGTACCACTTGTGACACATTTACCCTATAATATTTGTTCCAGGGCATTTTCGACCTTTCTTTTTTTTTCTTGTTTTTTTTCCTTTTTTTTCTTTTCTCTTCCCCTCCGCCGGCGAGGGCCACCCTCGCCGGCGTCGGGGCGAGGGCAGCCCTCACCAGATCCGGCGAGGGCGACCCTCCCCGACGGAGGGAAGAGAGAAGAAAAAAAAAGGAAAAAAAATAGAAAAAAGAAAAAGACAAAAATGCCCTTGGACAAATGTATTGTGGGGTAAATGTGTCACAAGTGGCATAGTTTGGGGTTTTTCATGCCACAAAAAAAAGTTTATGGTAAATTTGTCACAAGTGACATAGTTTTGGATTTTTTGTGGTGTTTTCCCAACCTTTTTAAAGTGACTTAACACTTTCCTCCAATAAAGTAACCAACAACTTTTTGTTACAAACTCTTATTTGAATTGCATATTACTAACATTTATTTATTCTTTTAATTTATCAACTTTTCTATGAATTACCACTTTTATTTATCTCACCACCAACTCTTTATATAATCACAAATCTCAATTAAAGAGATTATCAACTTTTCACAAACTAACTAATAATGCGTTACCAATTCTTGTTTGAGTTAGTTACTAATGTTTATTTGGTGTTTTCTTCTTTAAATACCAACTTCTCTCATCCTCCACCAATTTTTACTTACCTTTCTATCCAACAACTTAAATTTACCAACTATAAATAATTTCTCGACCTTTATTTGTGTGACTTACTTTTCTTAAATAGTTAACTAGCTTTAGGTCATCAATTGAGTTGCTTATTAGTATTTATTTGTTGTTATTATCTTCACCAACTTTTCTATCGAGTCATCACTATTATTTGTTCTGCTAACCAACTTTTTTGCCAACTCGTTTTAAAAATTACCAGGTTTAATTAGAGTGATTGCCGAATTTTCTCTAATTAATTTACTAATTAGTTTTATATTACCAACACTTATTTCAGTTATTTACCAATATTTATTTGGATTTTTTTTGTTAGTAAATTACCAACCTTTCCTATATCTGACAACAGAAAAGCTTCTTCCGTTGTTTACCACTTTTATTTACCTTTATTAGGTTTACTCTCTATTATATAAAAAAACCAATTTTTTGTGTGACTTACCAACTTTTCTCTAATTAAGTTACTACATTTACTTTCCAATTTTTATATCATTTTAAATTACCAGTTTTATTTGCTTTACTTATTAATCATTTTACACAATTATATGACTAGTTAATTTAGCACTATTAACTCTTATTTGAGTTAATTGCCGACGTTTATTTGAATTTCATTAAATTATCAATTTCTCTATGTTCTGACCAAAAAATACTTATCATATTATTTAACAACTTTTATTTAACTTTCTTAATAACACCATAAATTTACCAACTATTATATGAAATTACAAACTTCCATTTGGAACTTACCAATTTTATTCCTTATTAATTAACCCGATAAAAAAAATTTAAAATTTTTGGGTTAATACCACGAAAAACCCCAAACTGGTACACCTGTGACAATTTTACCCCAAACTAACCCCAAACTGGTACATTTGTGACAAATTTACCCTTCGTTAGTGTCTGTTAAATTGGATTAATATTACGAAAAATCACAAGTTGGTAAACTTGTGACAAACAGAGGGGTAAAACCCCAAACTAGTACACCTGTCAACTACCACGTGTCATCAAACTTAGTAATTTGACTGTAAAATTTAACGGAAACTAACGGAGAGTAAAATTGTCACAGGTGTACCAGTTTGGGGTTTTTGGTGGTCACAAAAATAGTTCGAAGTAAAATTATCACAGGTGCACCAGTTTGGGGTTTTTTATGGTATTAACCCTAATTTATTTTTAAATCACATAAACTTACATAACTAACTCAAATAAGAATTACTAATCCATAACTAGTTGATAATTTAATCGGAGAAAACTTAATAAATCACTTAATTTCAATCGAAGTTGGTAAATTAAAGGTGTAATTAAGATAGATAATAATTTTTTTGTCCTATGGTTTGAGGAGCTCAAGGCGAGCCCCTACAATGCCCACCTGGGAAACCTATAAATCCCCTAGTCAAAGGAGGGAAGTTTTGAACTCCCCACCTCCTCATTCCCACGTGGGAATGTTGGTCACCGGGAGGTTGATAGGTAATAAATTTTAGTAAAAGATTAGAAAATTTGGGAATTTGAAAGAAAACTAAATTTGGGAAGTAGCTCGAATGAGAGTCAATAACTTAATTAGAGGAAAATTGGCCATCTTTTTAGGTGTCCGGTTCAGAGAAGACGGGAAGCCTACGGTCATCTCCGAGGCATGTGTTTCACCCAATGACCAAGATCGCCGAAGTTTCCTCCTTGATTGTCTTCGACTGAATTGACATTGCCATTGTCGTGTTCCATTGGTTGTCCGAGAGTGCATTCAAGTCAAGCAAAACGTGTTTTGCCTTGCTGGAGTTGATCTTGACCAAACTATTCAAAGCCCGAGTTCGACGAACACTCAGATTCGAGCAGCTCGCAAGCTTATCTCTGACAAACAGAAAGGCTCCTTTTATCGTTTACCGACTTTTGTTTACATTTCTCACCATCTGCTTAATTTACCAGCTATGATATGAAATTATCAATTTTCATCTATGCAACTTACGAACTTTTATTACATTACTAACTAATTTTGGGTTGTTGAAATACACATGTGAGTTGTGTTATAGAAGTCTCATATCGGATAATTGATGTGGTATTGAACAATTAATATATTTTAGTTGGCCCATAACTCATTGGCTTAAGCTTTTGAGTAAATGTGAATTCAACTAGATATGTTGATAGGCTCGAACTTGAATTCCTTCTTGGCGACCTCCTCAGGTGAAGGTATCGGTTTTTACTGTGCACTCCCAACATGGGTTACCAACTCTTATATGAGTAGCTTACTAGCATTTATTTCTTTTTATTGCATACCAAGTTTACCAACTTTTTTTAGAAATTACCAACTTCGATTAGAGTGATTGCCAAAATTTTTTGTTATTAAATTACCGATTTTTGTTAACTCCGACAAAAAAGAACTTTTCTACATTTCTCGGTACTATCTTATATGAAATCACTAACCTTTTCTATATGATTTATCAACTTTTTTCTGATTGAGTTACCAACCATTACTGACTTTCATTTGAGTTGATATCAATGCTTATTTCATCTTCTTCTTTTTTTTATTTACCTATTTTTCTATGGAATTACCACTTTTATCTGCCAAACTTAGCAATTGTATTACCTATGGAGCAGGCCAAGGTCAGTTCTTAGAAATAAAAATTCTCAGTGTGCCAACTTCTGGTTGTCCGATATAGAGAAAGAGAGAAGTCTAAGGTCTGCCCCCAAGACGCACGTTTCCCTCAACGACCAAGACCACAGATTTTTCCTTCTTGATCGTCTTCGAGTGAGTTCAAATTCAAACCATTGTTGGCTCCACTGGGGTTGCCCTAGAGTCCAAGCAACTCCAGCTTTTCTCAACAATTTTTTTGGGCCCGCCTTGTTGTCTACTCGAACATGTTTTTCTTAGTTTGAGTTGAGCTTGACTATCAATAGATGTATCTGAAAGTTAATTCACTAGGAATATTCTTGTAGCTATCCATAGTTCTGTCTTACTTGACTGTAGTCGGAATAAGTTACTAATAAGATCAAATTTCCCACTTTCATATATTAAAGGTCACCCAGTGTGCAAAGACATTAAGGTTGGAGAAGGCGGTGCACCGCCACGGACTATACATGATGTGCCCCCGACCGTTGGAAGACTTACCCTCTCTCTCCCTCTCTCGCGCCCTCCCTCTCAGCCACCATTTTCCTGTGACGGCCGGCATTTCTCACCCTCCTCGCACCACCTCCCTCCGCCTCGTCATCCACAGCGTCTCCACCCTCTCTCCCTCCCAGCATCAATCTCTCTTTTGGAGACTCATCGGTGGTGAAGACCTACAGTATTAAGTCCGGTCCATGTTTCCAAAGACGTGATACTTGTACCAGATCACACTCGAGTCATTTTGAAGCTAATTCAAGCTACAAATCTGGCATCTTTCAAGTGCATCACATTAGGAACTAAGTTTTACACATCTGGCTTGTCATTCATGCCGCTATTTAAAATGCCTAATGGCTCCCATTTTTGAATTGATCACCTTAGTAATAAATCACAACTTTCTTTCTTCTTTCCACATTGTACAGTGCAGGTTGGCGTCAACTCTTCACCCCTTTTTTGTGGATACTCCACACATGCCGCAAACATGTGAGTGCGATTGCTTAAGCAATGGATACAAAATAGTAATTGCAAACAACAAGGCTACTCCAGGTTACATGGTTGGGGTATTCCAATATTCATGTACTTAAGGGCACTTGTGCAGAGAAACTAAGTCGAGAATCAGCGCCACAAAACTGGAAGAAAACTTACAAAATGCAAACTGCAAAAGTACTAAGCCGAAACAGAAACGCCCACTGCACTGCTTATATCTCATCTTCCTCAAAAATATCTCGTTCAGGGTAGTCCCCAACCTGGAAACCACATAATGATGAGAAAATTAAAGTTAAGGACAGTTGAAGTTCAACATGCAAAGGCAACAGAACCCAACTCTGGTTAATAAGGACACTTTCTTTTGGAAATTTCGCAAGCATTTCTACCAAAGCTAAATGAAGAAAATTCGACACTTGGAAGTTGTTGCATCTCACAATTTAAATGCATGTCTCAAAGCATCAACAATAAATTTGAATGCAACAAAAATGTTTCAAGAGAGATGTGCAGACATCCATAGAAAATGATACCTCACTTTTAGCAATTTTTCCAGTTCAACAATTGGCTCATAATTTAAACATCTAGCAGTAGCAGCAGCACTAAGTTTTAAGTATTAGCTAAGATAACATCATCAAACTATAGTTGTCGCCTTACCTTTACTTTGTCTGGTCTGACCACTGCACCATGAAGTGGAGGACAGTTGAAGTACCGTGTCCCTTTCACCCTGCAACAAAATGTCCAGTAAGTTTACAATTGCACAGGGCCAGCCATGGGGAAAAGAAGTTACTCTTGTTAGCACAAGCAGATGACAGCAGGCATTCACATGAAGAGCAGAATATCATGGTACTTATTGAGAATCTTGCAGTAATGAATTGTTAAATGCCTTTCAGCCTAACAATCATCGTGCCCGGAGAACACAGAGCTTCAGAGATCTAAGGAAGTAGAGTTAACACACCTCAAGGCTCGAATTAAACCTTTGAGCCTTTTTTCTTTCGTCGTGTTATTAACAGGTTTTTGCAGCTTATTGTAGCTAACCATTCTTCAGAAGCAAGAAACAGGCCATATGTGCGCAGCCTGAGAATTGAGCTAAGCATTGCTCTTCATGACGACTTTTTTTGGTGTAAAGCAGGGGGCAAGGAAAGAAGTATATCATATGTTCTCCAACTTGGGATGGAGATTTTGGAATAATAGAATAAGCTCCAAAATAAATATGTTTTTTCCACTAATGTTCACTGATCATTTCATCTATCAATCAATAAAAGCGCAGTTTTATCTTTGTTAGCATTGTCATTACTATAGTCACTCTTTCTTTGCAACAATGAACACTAAAATCAATCCGGAGATACAAGCTGACAGTGGATCATTGACAGTGACGAGTATATAGAGCAACTGAAGTTAATGCCAAAAGAAAGATTTGTAAAGAGGGACATACATGCCATCATGCTTTCCCAATGGTTCATCATATTGAACTCCAACCCAGAAACCAGGTGCAAGAGATTCTGCTTTACCCACAAATTTCACTACTCCTCTTTTAGCCCCTGGCTCAACTTCACACCTATCTCCCACCTTAACAATCAAAGAAGACAGAAACCACAAATCATGTCCATCCTGTTAGCAAGGCATAAAAACAGCACAACATTTGACAAAAGGATAGCAAGAAACAATACAAGGAAGAGAAATAGAACAAGCCAAGAAATGCTTCTGTGCCTCTGATAAACAAACTTCAGCACAAATGTACGTGTTCAACTTCCTCTTTCATGTAACAGGTCAAATAGAGATCTCAAACTCAAAAACTCCTAAAACTATCAATCAGATTCCGCATCAACCACGCTCGCAAAAAGAAAAGTGGTTAGCAACTGTTAATATCAGTAAGACAGCCAAAAACTTCTCCTAGTTTTAGTTCTCTTGGATACGAAATTACCCCAACCAAAGCAGATGATAACTAATGTATGCAATTTTTAGTATGATGAAGGAATCCTTCACAAAGGAACCCAGATACATTGATCTTCTTCAGAGATGCAAGGATGATTTTCAAATTCACTACTGTCAGAGCACTCGAAGTGGTCAATGCTCTGTCATTTCATTTTTGATTCACTCTCACACCTCCTTTCCACCCAGAATGCTTTCCCTACTTGTAGCCAGATTGTTCTAAGATATATGAATAGTATCACATAAGAGATCGTTAATCACCAGAGAAAAAAGTAACCAAACTACCGACCTTGACATTAGTGCAGAGATCTTCCATGTAGTTGTCTGTTATCTGTAGATAACAATAGTAGACAATTTCAAATACTTCATCCAGAAATATTTTTGAATAAGGACATGGGATCACTGATTGGATAGGCATGATAGGGAAACAGGAAAAAAAACACCTTCGATGACTGGCGTACAAAGTAAATTTGAAGAGGGGACAGAATGCTCTACAGAAACATGACTTTGGAGCCATATGACTCTACTGGTAGTAGTACCTTTCAGCTAGTCAAACTCAAGACATTACCTTCGGCTCAAAAGCTGATGGATTTGGGGATGAGATTTTTTCCTTAAATTTCCGGAAAGTTCCTGGAAAAGGAGAAATACATCTTCAAATCCATTCAATGACAAGATGAAGCAGTAAAATCAGAAAAGACAAATGTGCGCAATAAGGTATGCACTGTCCGATTAATATGTCCCCAAAAGAGCAACACTGTGATTAAATCCTCCAACATCAGTCATGATCAACTTCATTACATATTACTGTTAATCTTGTCATCCGTTCTATCTGGCAGGACAATACAGACCATGAGAAATAGCCACTTTCATATAGCAGTAAAAGCTCAGGCAATTCCAAAACAAGCACATCTCGCATTATGGAGTTGCATCGACTCGTTCTTATAACTTTTGAACATAAGAAGTTTCTTACATGTTTTTTCCCTGTTCCATGATTAAAAGTATGATTCAGGTAAAGTGAATACAAAATGACTACATGATCTTTATGTTAAATATACTTCAACGAACGGATGGGTAAACTTCATGCTAAGAACACACCATCGCGTTTATCATAAGCGTCATCTGAAATTTGATATTTTTCCACCAATGAAGTATCTTCTAACCAGCCACCAGAGGTTACAGATGATGGATCGACATCTATAATATGCAACCGATACCTTTCAAGAAAAAATAGCCAAAACATGGACCAGTCAATAAACAAACAAGGAAGTGCAGCAAAGTAAAAAGAAATCCACAACAAAAATTGCCAGTTTGTAGATGATGATTAGGACACAAATGTTCATAACGATTATAAAATCACAAGTCACGAGCAAACGATGCAGCTTTCTTTATTGGCTAAAATATAACCATATCCATATAAAGAGGGGCGGAAAAGTGAGTCTGTAACGCTTTTTTCTTGGTTTGCAAATAATTTACTGAACAAAACATCAAGGAGACCCATCTTATTACATAATACAAAGTGTTTTTGGAGCACGAAACATCTGCTACCATCACCATTTCACGAAATGTAATTAAAAGTCAGCATAGGAAAGCCTACGACAGTCTAGAAAGGGCATGTTGATTAATTTTTGGCAGGAACTCATCACTGTAGGGTTGATCTGTATTAGTTCAGACGCAACACGCAGCAATTATACAAAGACTCCAGAAAACCTCAAGCATCACAACATGCCTAGCGATAAAAACGGAGAATTCGGAACTGACCCATCAGTCGGCGAGTAAAAACCCAGTGGCCTGTTGTTATCATCCAAGCTACAAACTTTGGACCCGGTGTCATCATAGAGGTCGAGGCGCATCGATTCCACAGACGTACCGCATTTCCTCCAAAGCTTGTCTTTCACGGACTCCACCGTGGTCTGATCATCAACAGCGAAACAAAGGACACCCGAACAAGATTCATCAGATTCAACAACTCATCAGCTTCGCTCCATAAAATTAAGGAAACATCAAGATCGAACTGGAACCGAACCGCGAATCAGACCCAGAAGCCAAAATTCCCCGCCATCACCAACCAAAGATGAGAGAACTCCGACGGAACCTCTCACCTGAAGCGAGAGACGGATTTCGGAAGAGAAGGTCTTGAGGTTGGAGTGGGAGAGCCGAAGGAGCACGGACTCGTCACCCGGGAGCTGCTGCAACCGGCTCGCCATTGCCGTCACCGGGCGTCGCCGCTCCGCTCCCCTCCTGAATCACACCCGCAAGGATTCGAAAATGCTCGATTCGAACTCTCTCTCTCTCAGCCAATTCGGGAAAGCAAAATTCCAACAGACAGATTCGCCAAGAATTTAGAGATCCGACTGATGGGCGGGCTTAAGACCGAGCCATTATGGTCTCTTTCCTCTGCACGACAACGTGTGAAAATAAGCCCAATACGGACCACAACTTCCATGCACCACCAAAACTAGGTGCACTAAAAAGTTTTTGAGTCCCTGTGTGGTGAATGTAGTATGATTTAGCATTTAACTATTAGATTGGATTTTGTTTAAACTATAGAGCATAAAAATACATAATTTGAGATCTATAAGAGAGAGAAAGTTACAAAGAGTTTCAACTCGAGATCTCTTTTTTTAAAATTTGCAAAGAATGTTTGTAAGATATCAACCCGTTTTACTTTTAGATCTTAAGAAAGGAGAAATGACATTTTACGATCATTTCATGGAGATGTTCGAGGGTGATCGGTAACGGGTGAGGTCCCGATTTGCGTGAGTTGAAATTTGGAAGCTACCCCAGTCGGGTCAGGTTCGGAGATCTCGGAACTAGGGGTCGGATCGGGTTTTCTTTCATGATGGGCCTGTAAACCGGGTCTTTCCTTGTTTTTTAAAAAGGAGTTGTGATTTTAGAGAGAGCACAAGGCGGCCATGGAGATTTACCAAGGCGGAGACAGGAAGGCGAGCGTGCACGACTTTTGGCAGTTCAATGTTACTTTTTCATATTTTGCTCCACACTACCGTTGTTGGGTCGGCCCCAAAAGCCCACGAGAAGTGAGGTCTGAGGAAGTGATAGAGAGAGAAGAGATGGAGGTGGCGGCGGCGGCGGCGTTGGAGGTGGAGGTGGGGCTAGGGGAGGCGGCGAAGACATTCCGGCTGGAGAAGGCGGTGTGCAGCCACGGGCTGTTCATGACGTGCCCCAACCGCTGGGACCCGCTCTCCCTCTCCCTCTCTCGCCTCCTCCGCCTCCCCCACGGTGACGTCCCCGTCGTGGTCCGCATCTCCCACCCTCCTCGCTCCGCCTCCCTCCGCCTCCTCGTCCGCGGCGTCTCCGCCCTCTCTCCCTCCCAGCACCGCTCCCTCCTGGTCCGTCGCTCGCCCCCCCTACCCCTCTCCTGCGCCTTCCCTTTCGATGGGCTGATCGTGCGTTTCTTTGTTTTGTCTGTTGGACAGGGGCAGGTGAGGCGGATGCTGCGGCTGTCGGACGAGGACGAGAGGAAGGCGAGGGAGTTCGAGAAGATGTGCGGAGCCATGGGGGAAGCCCCCGATTGCGTGAGGGAGTTCGGGGGGAGAGTCTTCAGGTCTCCCACTCTGTTCGAGGACATGGTCAAGTGCATCCTCCTCTGCAACTGCCAGTCTGTCTTCTTCCTCCTCCTACTCGCCTTACGCACCTTACCCTTTATTAGCTCTTTGAGTTTCTCTTTACTGAAAAATCTGCACTGTGCCCGCCTTTCTTGGAGTGGCCATCTTCACTCCAACTCTGTCGCTGTCTCTTCGAAATCCATACTTTGATCCCCGCAACTATTTGCAAACATAATGACCCAGGACTGCTCAAAATGATTAGAATGTCGGGCTATCAGTTTCGAATAGAGAAGAAAGCAAAGAAAAGAAATGGATGCTTAGTTCAAACTCTTCATTAAGAGGGGTCCAACCTGTAATTCCTAATGGGAAATGATAGATGAAAAGGTCCTTGTTATGTCTATACAGCTTGATGCCTTGCTCATGCTTTGACTGATCGGGCTGCACGAATTCCGCTCATTTGCTTTTCAATTAAACTCATACGGTGACTGATCGGCTTCTTGATTAGGTGGTCGAGGACTTTGAGCATGGCTCAAGCACTTTGCGAGCTGCAGCTTGAGCTGCAGCGTAACTCATCTTGCACGGAAGATACAGATGGTATTCGCAATAATGCCAAAGCCGTGGCTTCACATTTGGCTCCGACAACACCTGCTGCAAAGGAGGCTAAGAGAAAAGGGGGCAGACGCAAGACTCAAACCAATTTAATGGCCAAGTTTGTAGACGTTACGACTGAAGCACAAGTAGATACAAGCACAAGGATGGATGCCGTCAAATTGGCTATTGGCATCCATGAGAACGACCAATTGACCTCAGGCTTATCTTCTTCAGATGGCTGTAGCTCACATTGTGACCGCCAATCTCGTCTGGCTTCTGATGAAATTTGTGAGACTTCTGAGGAAGCTCGAAAGCGAGGTGCATGTCAAGAGCCTATTGTGCAAATTGCTCATGTAGAAGAATGCTGGTGGGATGTGGTTGGAGACTTTCCTAGCCCGAGAGAACTAGCAAGCCTAGATGAAGGTTTTCTGGCGAAACATTGTAATCTTGGTTATAGAGCTGGTCGGATTGTAAAGCTTTCTCGAGGTATTGTTGAAGGCAGGATAAACCTGAGTCAACTGGAAGAGATTTGTGATACACGGTGCTTGTCCAGTTATGCTGATCTAACAGAGAGGCTGAGGCAAATCGATGGTTTCGGTCCTTTCACATGTGCCAATGTGCTAATGTGCATGGGATTCTACCATGCCGTTCCAACTGATTCTGAAACAATCAGGCATTTGAAGCAGGTATGCTCTGTGGCTTCGCTTTTAGTATTTTTGCTTGTGATCTGAATGGAGATTTGAAACTGTAGGTCCACGGAAAAAATTCTACCATTCAAACTGCTCAAAGTGATGTAGAGGATATCTACGGACGATATGCTCCATTTCAGTTCCTCGCATACTGGTACGCCATGAGAGGCTAAAGAATTCTATTACATGCCCTTTCCTTCTCTGTTAATTCCTGCCTTCCACATTGAAAAAACGTGATTCTATCTGTTTCCTTGATGAGCAGGGCAGAGTTATGGAACTTTTACGGGGAAAGATTTGGGAATCTAAGCGCGATGCCTTTGTCAAGCTATAAGTTGATTACTGCCACCAATATGAAAGAGAAAGGAAGTCGCGGAAAAAAGAGGACAAAGCTATCCTCATGAAGCATGGGCCCCTTATTTTTGTTCCATTTATGGGACGGAGCGAGCTGTTCTTCATCTGTAGGACCGTGCTGGTAGTTCTTCTCATCCTTCTTAGCTTACAATACGTATTTATAACCTCCATGTCTAGCATTTTTCTCAAACTGAGGTCTATATAATTCCTCACTTCATTCCCTCTACTTTTGCTAGCAAATTCATGTTCTCAACATATCAGGAAAAATGTCGGGCAGGATAGCCTGGTGATCAAATTCTTCGAATGTCGAGACTTATGTAGATTGGACTGTCTTGTCCTAGATGTTGAAAGGAACCGACAGATTGACACATTCTTAGCTTCATTGAATTGGCCATGTCTCTTTGCTTATCCTTTGGCTTCTTTACTGGCATTGAAATTATCTCTCCTCCTTTCTTTTTTCTTGTCAAGATACTTTTGAGCATGCAGTTTAAGGCTCTCTGTATCTGTTTGTTGTTGACACCTATTTTTAATTTGCCCAAAATTAATTGCACAAAATTTAGGAATTAATTTTCTTTTAATTCCTAAAACAAAAAATATTTCTATTTAAATGCATTGCATATAGACATTAGGCATATGTGAATTAATAGGGCCTATTAGAGCATATTTTCTTAAATTTTAAACAAAAATGATTGATTAAAAGATCATTTTTGCAAAGCGTGAGCTAAATAGCACTTTGTCTGGAGTTCTAGGCATAAAGAAGATGCTCACGGTGATGTTTAGCTTACGAAAGAAGATAAGTCACCCATAAAACGATGCATAAAATCTATCATTATAAATGCATTAGGATATGATGGTTTGACAAGTTGGAGGGTGATGAAGTTCCACAAATGATGTAACGGGTTGCTGCTGATGGACCAGCGGACTCTGTTTGGAATTAACACATAATATTATTTTATTAAAAAATTTAAAATTAAAAATTTTAAAAAAATTTTAAGAAAAAAATTATTATTATTATTATTTTTTGTTCTTTCTTCTGTATTATTATTATTATTATTATTTTATTTTTATTTTTTTCGAAAAAAAAAAATTTTAAAAATTAAAAAATTAAATTTTTTAAAAAAAAAATTTTTTTTTTTTAAATTGTATTATATTCTAAATGTTTTATTTGTTATAGTATTATTATGCATAATTTACCATGTTTAAATTAGATAAACCTAGGATTACGCGGTAGTATTTTGCATGATAGTTTTTATTACCGTTAGTATTGTTATGCATGTTTTTAATACAATTGCTTGAAATGTCATGTGTTTTGAATGTCATCCGACTTGCCATGCTAACCTTAGGCCGCATGAATGCGTTGTGTTCCCGATCGCTAATCGTTTCGACATGCACTCGCTTGATCACCTCACATGTTAGGAGAAAGGTCCTAAAATCAATCAAAATTGCTCGACAAATGTTTTCGAAATGAACAGGGTAAATTGGTACCGAAAGCGCATTAGTTATCTAACTAGTGTAACCAAGCCCCCGAATTCAGCTAATCTCTGTTCAGGAATAGGGTGATTCTCCCATCACCCTATTTGGCTTTCTAATCGACCCACCCCAAATCGATTAGCGGCGACTCGATATAAACCACTTGCATGTTAAAAACTTAAACCCTAAGTCGCGATACAGATGGGCTGAGAGAGCCTCGAGTTAAGTCCCGAACCTGACTTAAGACGCACTGCGCGAGCCCCCTTCTCTTTGCATGTCGTTTAAAAAAGGGCTCGGGAGTTCGGTCGCGACATTTGTAATAGCCTGTTTATGCAGATCTACGTGCAACCATAGGATAGGATACACGGTTCATCTTAGTAGGTGCAAGTAATACATTTGTGAATCTAAATTATCTGTCAAAGACGGGATATCTGCAGTCATTTGGGCTACCAGTGAAAGCACAAATTGCTTGTTCGCGCCACTAGATCCTTCCTTTCGGGGTCTCCGATCATAATTCTCATTTGGAATGAAAAAAGAAGAAGAAGAAGTCAGATATTTCAGGTGCTAAGAGAGCGTATCATTATAATGCAAATATGTGGAAAGCTGATGTGATTAAAAGATCATTTTTGCAAAGCGTGAGCTAAATAGCACTTTGTCTGGAGTTCTAGGCATAAAGAAGATGCTCACGGTGATGTTTAGCTTACGAAAGAAGATAAGTCACCCATAAAACGATGCATAAAATCTATCATTATAAATGCATTAGGATATGATGGTTTGACAAGTTGGAGGGTGATGAAGTTCCACAAATGATGTAACGGGTTGCTGCTGATGGACCAGCGGACTCTGTTTGGAATTAACACATTACCTAATTCGATATAAATAGTAGGATGGTCCGAACCAAAACTTGGCCCAATAATTCTCAATCGAATTCCTAATCTTAATGGCAAAATTACAAAAAAAAAATGTCATAAACTTACTGCAAGGTTCTTACACCTTTCAATTTGGTTCAATTTAATTCTAAATATTTTGACGATTCGCCAATGTAGTTCTTGTCAAAATTGGCTGGAAATTGCTAATGTGAAAGCCATCTTACGTGGCAAGCGATATTGACGTGGATAATTTTTATAATTTTTATAATTTTTTTTTGAAATTTTTGAATATTTTTCCTTGTTCTTTTTTTATTTTACTCCGCCAGCCATAGGTTAGGGCTTGGACGCCCACACCAGCCCTCGCTCGATCTAGGCAAGAGTCGTTGACGGCCACTCTCGCTAGATCTAGGCAAGAGTCGTCGACGGCCATAACTAGCCCGTAATCAAGAAAAAAATAGAAAGAAAATAAAAAAAATTCAAAAAAAATTTATTGGTATTTATGTCGGTGATTTTTTGATCAAAATTGGTTAGAAGTGCTATATTGATAAATTGTTAAAAGGTTTAAAATTAAATTAGCTAAATTAAAAAGTTGATGGCTTGTTTTATAAGGAAATATCCATTGATCTTAATTATGTTTTGAGTGAGCTAGCAAGAAGGAAAGATGCTGGAAGAAACCATGTGGTGGGACACTGAACCGTGGATGTAAAACCCACAATAATGACGTGGGCCCGCCGCCCATACGGAAAACAGTCCCTCCTTAAATCGATCAGGAACATCCACCACACCACAAAACACCACACACGTGGAACGGACAAAAAAAAAAAAAAAGAACAGCCAAAACATGATGGGGGAGCGAGTGTCGGTCGAGATCGGAGTCGTCGGAGGAGGAGGGTTAAACAAAAACCTGCGCAAAAAGGCCTCAAAAGAGAGAAATCTTGGAGTGTCGGCAAAGGCGTTTGTGTTTGGTTAAATGATGGCGACGTTGTACCCCGCGATGAAGAAGATGAAGAAGAAGCAGCAGATGTGTGGTGGTGGTGGTGGGGACGCTTTTACAGCTCACGGGTGTTGTCTTGTTTCTTTTGTCTCAAAACTCGAATCGATTAAAAAAAAATGGCCAAGCCACGTGGGTTATACATCCGTTAGGAGTCAGTCCATAAGCGGGTGTCATCGTAACATGTAATTGTACCTCGCACCGAAAGATGCCGGGTGTACTTTCTTGTTGCTATTGGATAAGAAAAATGACATGAACGGATTTTTGAACTTTGATTCGATGTATAATATCGTTCTTGGACTTTGAATTCGTTCGTTGTGGTCCATGAGCTATATCGGTAAATGATTAAATGCAGCCCCTTTTCATGTGCTCAAAATGACAAATTTGGCATTTTACATGTTGGGTGTGGTTGGTTTTAGGGTGGGTTGGTTCCCGATTTATAGAACCGGTGATTCCCTGCAAGTGGGAATCCCAACATTAAAACAAAAAATTAACTTACCGATTAGAGTTTGTTTCAAAATAAATAAAAATTAAGAAATATTGGCCGGACTAGTTGGTCCAATTTCGAGTGGTCTGATCGGTCGATTCCATATCTGAAATCGGAAACCGAACCAGTCTCTTTGAAAATCATCCGGAATCGGCCGGTTGAATTTACGGAGTGGACCAGGATCGATACATACCTCTGTTACGTACCGAGTTGAATTTTTTTAAATTAAATAACGAGTTAATATGTCCTATCCTTTTATCAATCTACTTCAGAGAAGGAAAGTGAGGGCCTGTTTGGTTCAACTTTGAAAATGCTACTTGGGGGAATGCAAATATCTTTGGGTGAAAGCCCATTGGGGAAATGCAAATGGTGTTTGGTAAAAATATTTTGTAAAGTTACTTTGGCCAAAATATAGTGTTTGGTGAATTTTTTTTGCAAATGGACTTTGAGAATTATCTTATTTATTAAAAAAAAAAACACTAACCTACTCATTGTTACGGGCCGAGTTGGCCTACGAAGGTCGGGTGACCCGTTTTTTCGCCGGCTATTAAATAAAAAAAAAAAAAAAAGAGTCGAGTTAATATGTCCTATCCTTTTATCAATCTACTTCAGAGAAGGAAACCAAACATCTCCTGAGAATTGGGTAAATTAGTAAAGCAATGGAAAAGGGGGCAGGGCCTCCCGCAACGCCAGTTCACAGTTCACGGAAGGAAGGCGGGCGGGGTAAAAGGCGGAGAGCATTGCGGACGGAGCGTCGCTGTCGGTAGGTTGGACTGGGCACTGTCATCCACCCGACGCTCCTTCGTACGCCTCCTCCCCCCAAACATCAGTCCAACCACACACACCATTATACAATTCCATCGCCTTTGACTCCTCCATCCCTCTCTCTCTCTGTCTCTCTCTCTTTCTACTCAGCGAAGCAAAGCATCTCCCCTACCCACCACCCCTCCAAATCGTCATCCTCCTCCATCGTCTTCTTCCTCCTCCTCCTCCATCAAGAGACATAAAGAAAGAGCCACACCCTCCATCATTGGCGAGGGAAGAGAGAAAACACTCCTCCCACCAAACTACCCACCTCCTCTCCATTTTTCTATGCTTTTCTCCCAGACCGATCTTTGACGCAGATCTGTCGGTGGTGGTGGTGGGTCTTCTCCCTTTCCTCCCTCTTCTTTCATTCCCTCCGCTGCTGCTGCTTCTTTATTGCTACTATTCTTATTGGTGGTGTCCTCTGCTGCTTCACTCCCTCCCTCCCTCCCTTCCACCACCACCAAGAAGTGCTTTTTGAGAGTGAGAGAGAGTAAAAGGGGGACAAGGGAGCCCAGTTCGTTGCCCGTCGGTGAATGAGCATGTACGGACGGGATCCATGGGGGGGACCCCTGGAGATCAACGCCGCCGACTCCGCCACGGAGGACGAGCGCAGCCGCAACCTCAACGACTACGACCGCGCCGCCCTCTCCAACAACAACTCCCGCCCCCTCGACGAGACCCAGCAGAGCTGGCTCCTCGGCCAGGGCGAGCAGAAGAAGAAGAAGAAGTACGTCGACCTCGGCTGCATCATCGTCAGCCGCAAGATCTTCGTCTGGACCGTCGGCACCGTCCTCGTCGCCGGCCTCCTCGCCGGCCTCATCGCCCTCATCGTCAAGACCGTCCCCCGCCACCACCGCGCCCACGCTCCCCCCGACAACTACACCCTCGCCCTCCGCAAGGCCCTCATGTTCTTCAACGCCCAGCGCTGTAAGCCACCTCCCCCCCTCCTCTCTCTCTCTTCCAGATCTGGTCATTCGACTTCTCTCGCTCCGATTTCGAGTGTTCTTTGGATAGTGTGGACTGTCGACTCGCCGCCATTCTAAGCGAATTTCGGCCTTTTTTGCCACTGCAGCTGGGAAGCTCCCTAGGCATAACAACGTGTCGTGGAGGGGCAACTCCTGCCTTCAAGATGGCAAGTCCGATTCGTCCACGGTGATGAAGAATCTGGTGGGAGGGTTCTACGACGCCGGGGACGCCATCAAGTTCAACTTCCCCGCCTCCTTCGCCATGACCATGCTCAGCTGGAGCGTCATCGAGTACAGCGCCAAGTACGACGCCGCGGGGGAGCTCACCCACGTCAAGGAGATCATCAAGTGGGGGAACGATTACTTCCTCAAGACCTTCAATTCCTCCGCCGATCTCATCGACCGCGTCGCCGCCCAGGTACGGAGTGTCTTGCTTCTCGCAATTCTTGTGTCTCGGCAAATGGATAGAAGAGTCATGTGTTGTGTGTGGCGATCTCCTTTTGTTGCCCGGGATCATTTCTGATTCCCTTTGCTAAAAGGAAGAAAAAAATGTTGCCTTTAATTTGCTTATACATGCACTTGAGTAGAGTTGGGTGTGTGATGAACCAGATAGGGGAAGCATGGATCTGAATTGTGTGAGAACGTGATGATGTCAGATCAAGATACTTAGGACGTGCAGCTTTTATTTAATATTTCTAGCCCGTGAGTGCTGCGGGAGAGTCTTGGACTCCCCCAGTTATGCATTTTCCAAGAGATCCTGTCCGATTTCTTCAGATTTAGATGCTTCTCATCGAGATCCCTGTCTTTTTATTTGAACTGGAATCTCATTCCTGCGAAATTCTATTTTAATTGATTGCCCCGTTTGATTGATTTGCATCTATCTTTCCCATTTTCATCAGGTCGGTGTTGGGGATACTTCCGGAGGAAGCACTACTGCGAACGATCATTACTGCTGGATGCGTCCCGAAGACATTGATTATGCGCGGCCTGTATCCGAATGTCACAGCTGCTCAGATCTTGCTGCCGAGATGGCCGCTGCTTTAGCTTCTGCGTCGATTGTTTTCAAAGACAACAAGGCCTACTCTCAGAAACTAGTTCACGGTGCCAAAACGCTCTTCCATTTTGCGAGGCAACAGCGAGGGAGATACAGTGCCGGTGGATCAGAGGCTGCAATTTTCTATAACTCCACTAGTTACTGGGATGAGTTTATCTGGGGTGGTGCTTGGTTGTACTATGCAACCGGTAATTCCTCTTATTTGCAACTTGCCACCACTCCTGGTCTCGCCAAGCATGCTGGCGCTTTCTGGGGAGGACCAGATTATGGTGTACTTAGCTGGGACAACAAGCTTGCTGGTGCTCAGGTAAATTTATTATCTCCTAGAGGTCTTTCCCTCCCCCCGCTTGTTATTGAGATATAAACTTGGCGTGCTCCTTATCATTCAGTTATCAATATGTTGGAATCTGAAATACAATGTCCATGTTTGAAATCCCAAGAGGTGTATAATCTGCGACTCTTTCGGATCTGGAAGTATCTATAGCAAGTTTGGCTGTTGAGACTTTCAATTATCCTTAAATGTCAACAATTCATGTTCATGAGGAGTTAAATAAGGCAACTGCTCCATTACAATGCAATTGTAATTGAATTCATTTCTTGAAGGAGGGGATAAAAAAAAACGAGAGAACTCAATGCACTCGAAGTGAAAACTGTTGAGCCATCTCTCTGTGAAACTCTTTTTGGTTTTTTTTACTTGCCTGGATGTTGTGGTAGGTTCAGAAGCTGATTCCTCTGTCTTCCCTGTACCCAACTCTAAGTCTAATGCATGAGAAGTGACTAGATTTGTTTGGTCCATATACATGCAGCAGCAGATGCTCCATTGATTTGTCTTTTGTTGAGAGAGAAGGGTTTAGGATGTATTAAACTCGTCATTTTGACACATATTCTGAACAATGCAATGATCTAATATGCCTGTTGCAAACTTGTAGGTACTCCTAAGCCGTCTGAGGTTGTTCCTCAGCCCTGGGTATCCATACGAGGAAATGCTGAGGACATTTCACAATCAGACCAGCATAATCATGTGCTCATACCTGCCTATCTTCACAAGCTTCAATAGAACCAAAGGTAATGTCTCTTCAGAGATGGCATAGGGTGGAGTGGACAATGAATACATGTAGTGAACTAGTTGGCAGCTTAGTCTCATTTCCCCTTTTTGCCTTTCTTACAGGCGGCTTGATCCAGTTGAACCATGGAAGACCCCAGCCTCTTCAATATGTTGTCAATGCAGCCTTCCTAGCCACTGTATTCAGTGACTACCTTGATGCTGCAGATACTCCTGGATGGTACTGTGGGCCCAATTTCTATTCTACTGATGTCTTGCGTGATTTTGCCAGGACGCAGGTATGTCATTTGCGCCTCTCCTGTTTTCTAGGAACATTTTGGTATCGCCTATTTTTTTTTTTAATTGCTTCTTGATGCTAAGATGCTGAAAAACAATAGATGATGACTCCATCTTTGATTCTCTTTTGGGATCTCTAGATCGATTACATCCTCGGGAAAAACCCTCGGAAAATGAGTTACATTGTCGGCTTTGGTGAGCATTACCCGAGACATGTGCATCACAGAGCTGCGTCTATCCCAAAGAATAAGGTCAGGTACAACTGCAAAGGAGGATGGAAATGGAGGGACACGTCAAAGCCGAACCCAAACACGATAGTGGGTGCAATGGTTGCAGGCCCCGATCGGCATGACGGCTTCCACGATGTCCGTACTAACTACAACTACACAGAACCCACTCTCGCAGGGAATGCAGGATTGGTTGCAGCGCTTGTGGCCTTATCAGGTGACGGGAGCGCTAAGATTGACAAGAACACGATATTTTCCGCAGTTCCTCCCATGTTTCCCACTCCACCACCACCTCCAGCTCCATGGAAACCATGAGTTTGGCTGGTGTGGGTTTTTATGCAGCTGAGTTGGAGTAGATATTTCAAAGTTACCACCTGGGAAGAGGAAGAAGGTAATGCAGGATGAGGCGGGGAGTGTGCATGACAAACCAAAGAAGGGAAGGGAAGGGAAGTGAGACTTCTTGACATTTGCATTGGCATAAAAAAATACTCTGAAGAACAGTTGAACCCGGGACTCTCTTTTTGTTCTTTCAATCTTTGTGAAATGCGCGGGGTATATAGTGTATGAAGACATCAATCATGTATTCTTTGAAACTTGACGGCTTGCACCACATATGATAAAACAGTCAAATAGGATTGTGTGCTTCTTTCTTTCTTTGTTTCAACGATTCCATTTTATAAGGTGAATTCAGCTATGCGGTGGTGAAGGATCACAGTTTTCTTTGTTTGGATTAGGCCTGTCGAACAGTAGGGATGGGTCGAAAGTGGTTTGATCCAAATTGACCCGCGGTTTGAATATGATTATGGATATGGTGTAAATCCAAATAAATCCATATAAACTTAGGCTTTAATATTTAGAACTCATTTTACCCTGTCTTTAAAATTTTAAGTGATTATATGTAACTTGGCCTACTAAAATTAAGGCTTTTCTTTTAGTCTGGCTACTAAAATTAGCGGTTTTTGACCCATATTGCCATCTCTAATTCGGATTTATTAAAATAATTTTCCTTTATTGAAAAAGTAGATATTACATAAGATAAAAATGAGATATTACAAAAGACATTTCGAAGCTCTTTCTCTAGTTTGAAAATCCATGGGGTTAATACCGCGAAAAACTCTAAATTAGTACACCTATGATAAATTTACCCTAAATTAATTTTTTTGACCATAAAAAATCCCAAACTGGTATATTTGTGATAAATTTACCCTCCGTTAAATTGGACTAATATTACGAAAAATCGTAAATTGGTAAACCTGTGACAAACATAGAGGTAAGACTCTAACTGGTATATCCGTAAACTAACACGTCATATAACTCAGCAATTTAATGGTAAAATTTGACGGAAACTAACGGAGGGTAAATTTGTCACAGGCGTATAAGTTTGGGGTTTTTTGTAGTCAAAAAAATTACTTTTTGATAAATTTGTCACAAATGTACCAGTTTGAGGTTTTTCATGGTATTAACCTAAATCCATGCACCTTGCGACGTGAGGTTTTGAAAGAGGCCTTTCACCCCATTTACATTCAATTAGTTCTTCAACTCCGAGTGTAGTCCATTGGTGCGTTTGGTTCAACATTTTCAAGGGACTTTGGGAAAAGAGTTAATACCACGAAAAATCTCAAATTGGTACATATATGACAATTTTACCCCGAACTAATTTTTTGACCACAAAAAACCCTAAACTAGTACACCTATGATAAATTTACTCTGAACTTTTTTTTTACCACAAAAAACCCCACACTGGTTGGTGCACTTGTGACAATTTTACCCCAAACTAATTTTTTGACCACAAAAAATACTAAACTGGTACATCTGTGACAATTTTATCCCAAACTAATTTTTTAACTACTAAAAACCCAAAACTTGTATATTTGTGACAAATTTATCTTCCGTTAGTGTCCGTTAAATTAGATTAATATCACGAAAAATCATAAAATTGGTAAGCTTGTGACAAACAGAGGGGTAAAACCCCAAACTAGTACACCCGTCAACTATCACGTGTCATCAAACTTAGTAATTTCACAGCAAAATTTAACGGAAATTAGTGGAGGGTAAATTTGTCACAGGTATACCAGTTGGGGGTTTTTTGTACTTAAAAAATTAATTCGAGGTAAAATTATCACAGGTGTACCAGTTCGGGGTTTTTGGTAGTCAAAAAATTAGTTTTTGGTAAATTTATCGCAAGTGTACTAGTTTGGGATTTTTCATGGTATTAACATTTGGGAAAATGCAAAGCAGTTTAGCCTAAAGGGCTTTGGTGAAATGCAAAGACTATTTGGCAAACACTACTTTGAGAAACAACTTTAAGAGAAAAACTGCTTGGTGAAAACACATTTGGAAAGTCTATTTGGGTGATTAATTTAAAGTTTTTAAATTTTTAATTGGTTTAAAATTGAAAAAAAAAATCTGCAACTTTTTAAATTTAAATATTGAAAATAATGTTAAAAGATATCATGTAAACAATTTTATTAAAAAAATAAAATTTCTTCTTTTTGCTAAAAAAATTCAAATGGAAAATTCACATCAAAGTGGTCTCTTTCTCGATTAAAAAAAGAATATTTTCATTACAATAATCGTGGTAACATATGCCTCGACGAAAGAAATTCATTATCCTTAAAAATTACAAACATCCTTAAATATTTCCAAAACTTATAGCTATGATCACATAAATGTGCCATATCAGAAGAAGAGTCATCATTTGAAGCACTACTCTTCTCATTTACATCATCGGTACATAAATTGGGATCCAAATCTACTTATGCAAAATGTGCATCATTTACGGCATTTCTTCGTATATAATTGCGCAAAGTCATTGCTGCTATTACAGTTTTCACTTGCTTTTTATATGGATAAATTGACATGCACTTAGAATCTTCCACTTCTTCTTCAATACGCCTAAGGCACGCTCAATTTCTGATCGCAGTGAGGAGTGGGCACGGTTGAACACTTCTTTATAGCCTGTAGGTGCTAGACCTCGTTGAAACTCAAGCAAATGATACCTAACTTTTTCATATGAATTTTAGTTCAATATGCAATACTGTTCCTAAACTTTTAGCTCATTCAATATAATCCCCATAAGTTTGGTATATACTCAATTTACTTCATGAACTATATGAAAATATTTAATGTTGTCTTTCCATTAATTCAAGTTAATGAAATTTATCCAGTACAATTAAATGATGAACAAAAAAGTTATACGTGGCTTATTCTTGTAAGATATTCAACTCAAATTAGAATATAATAATCCTTTTGTTTGATTTGTTCGATTTGAAAAAAATGATTATTCATGTTATTCGATGACTTTGATTATTATATCTTGACTTGAGCTTAATATCTTAAGTGAATAATTCATGTGTAACGTTTTTTTTTCCATCATTAAACTTATCAGATTTGAAGTCAAATCAATAAATTCCTTCGACTTGAATTAATGGAAGGATAGCGTTTGATATTTCATATAATCAATGGAGTACATTAAACATTTACCAATTGTTTAGGAACCGCACTGAATAAACTAAAAATTTGAAGATAATATTACATATTGGGCTAAAGTTCAGATACCACATTGAATAAATTAAAAGTTCAAGGACCATTTATATAATTATCTCTATATGATAATAAAATTCAAAAAATGAGCATTATGTAAAATAAGGGTGATTTTGAAAAGCAAGTAGTGAGACAAATACTTTTCGCTTAAATATATAGATATAAATTTGGGTCAAAGTTCAGGCACTATTTATGTAATTATCTCTATGTGATAATAAAACCCTTATCTATATTTTAAGCGAAAAGTATTTATGTCACTATTTGCTTTTCAAAATCACCCTTATCTTACACAATGCTCATTTTTTGAGTAACCACACACATGTTTTTTAACAAGTGTGAAAATTCATCATGTGAGATTCCATTTGTTTCGCGGAGAACGAATAATTTGGAAAATATTATCCTAAAAACCATCTGTATCGCTTAAAAAAATGAACATACAGAAAATAATTTCACCATCCATGAAAATTTTAAATATAAATTATAGTCGATAATGAAAACAATTTTCATCGACTAATTATTTAAAACTATACAATCCGTTCATTCTAGGAAAATATTTTCGCAATCGTTCATTTTCCAATGAAACAAGCAGCGCCTAAGTTTTTAAATACATAACTATATATACAAGGGGTTTCATCATATTCTTAATTACATCACTCAATCAATTCAGGAAAAACAATTCAGTAAATATCTAAATTGACAACAATCATCTCAAAACTAGGAAAAAAAAAAAAGGAAGGGAAGCGAGATTGTTGGGCCGTATACAAATGGGCCTTTGGTCGATGGATGGGCCCGACCACACGAAAACTCGGTAAAGTTTTCGATTCCGAAATTTCCCTCCCTCCTTCCCTCCCTCCTACCCTCGGTCGCCGCCCCTCGCCGCAGCGTTTTTGCCCCCGGCGAACTGAGCACTCCGCCACCAGTCGGCGCAGCCCCCTTCCTCCTCCTCCTCCTCCTCCTCGTCCTCGTCCGGTAGGGTTTTTCGGCTGCCGCGGGCTCGGTCGCCCCCCGTCCGGCGACCATGAGGTTGGTCGGAACGGAGGTGCCCGTCATCGGCAGCGACTCCGTCAAGTGGATCGAGCTCTCCGTCCCTTCCCCTCCCGCCGGTCGCGACGCCATCGCTCCTCTCCCCGAGGATTACGCTTCCTGCTCCGCCCTCGCCGATCCTCCTTCGTATCTCATCTGGTATCCCTCTCTCTCCCTCTCCCGCTCGCACTGCCTGTTTTGGTTTCTGCGAAGAAGAGCTAGTTGCGAAGAAGAAGCTAACGGCGGCGATCGGCATTTGATTTGCGATGACAGGAGAATCCACAAGGCTGCTCCTCACGCCCTCGAGCTGCTCCACGTCTCTCCGCAGCAGGAGTTCCCCAGGACGGGGCTCCGCATTTTGTTCTCCGATGCCCTCTCCCCTTTCGCTTTCGTCTGCCCCAATGAGGTTTTATCTCTTGCGCCTCTTGTCTTCTCTCGCCATGTCTTCGAGTCGCTTCGCTGCCGGATTTCGAACCGTTCGGGTGCCGTTTCCATCTTTGTTTGCAGTCTAATTCGGGTTCTCGAAGCCCTTACCTGCTCTACGCGATGACCGCCTCTGGAGTTGCGTACCTGTTCCAGCTTCGGCACTTATCGAGTTACGCATCCTCCGCTTCTTCCGTCTTCCCGGCAAGCGATTTCGTCGAGCTCGACGTCGGGACCTTCTTTAGCCGGGGGAGGATAACGAGCATCGCGGCGACTTCAGGGTGTCTTTTGCTTGGCACTGATGATGGATCTCTCGTTTCTCTAAAGCTCGGCAGCCTTCTTCCCACGGAACCCGGTATCGATTTTGTCATGGTCCGCCTGAGTGTTTTGTTTTAGGCCGGTTTCTTTCCATTTCGATTTGGCTGTACATGAGATAATCTATGAGCTCTCACTGTCCATGATCTTGCATTTTGTCATTGGTTAATCCTTAGTGTTTCCAGTGGCATAGGAGTGTAATACCTGTCGTGCAGCTTTACTTTGGTTTTGTGTCAGTTTAGGTTTATTTTGCTATGTATCTAATAGTCGTATAGTTGTGAAGCTTTTTGTCTGATATCCCTCTTCTTCTCTAGGGTTTCTGCAGGAGCTGCGAGATGATTCTGGAATTGGTCGATTGTTGGGTTTCATGTCGAGGTACTCAGCCCTTTTTCACGTATTCATACTTATTCAAGAGAATCAAAGCCTAGAGGGTCGCTCTCGCTTTCATGTAAAGTTGGTATCTAATGGCTGGGATGTAATTGGATTTCTATATATAATTTGTTGAGCTGGAGTTGAATATCTTGTGGTTATGGGCATTGTGATAATTATGTCGTGATGTTGGCTAGCGGAAATTTTTTTTAAGCAGGCAAGATTTTGTATATTCATACGGTTGCTTGTTGTCTTTACCTTAATGGATATTAGACCACTGTAGTGCTGAGTTGCGTCTTTACAGGGTTTGTCGGCATTGATTAGGGTTATTTTATGTATTTAATTTGATAGATAATAGACGATTTTATCAATTGAAAATATTTCAGTACATCAGAATTGTACATAGACAAAAGAAAGAAAGACAAGCAAGAAAAGTAAACGTCACAATGCTATAAGGAATTGTAACAATATTTCAAAGCTGAATAAAAGAGTACAACACAGAAAAGGTTGAAGATTCTGAACCCTCAAACAATCTTTTGTTGCGTTTTTTTCCAAATGCACCACATGAGAGAATCAACAACATGTCTTGTTAGTTCACTTTTGGAGTTATAGTTACCAAAATTCCACTACTATTACCTGAGATCTACAGTGTACTACAAAGTTAGTTTTCCTTAATAAAAATGATTTCCGATGACCAAACTATAATTAGATTTGCCTTCGCTTTGATATTGTGTTAAATACATAGAAAACAATAACAAGTCCTTGCTGAAAGGAGTCAAATGAGCGTGCGCAAAATATTGAACTCAAAGCTTGGGAAAGTAGTTTATCTATATGTGTTTTTGGATAATAATGTGCAAATGTCGTTTTATTACTACCATCTTGTTGGCAGCTGAAGTTCTTAAGTTCACTTCTCCTTGATGACCAATACAATAACTATGGAAAGCAAAATCTCATTCAATTAGGTCCAATCGTTCAACTTTGGTAATCAAATGTGAAGTCAACTGGAGATTACGAAAATGATGGAAAATGAAAAGGGAAAACCTTTCACCTAACCCCGAGTGGTGTTCATGATTGCCTTTCTTGTGGCTGTGTTAAGAATTGAGAGAGAGATTACCACCATATAATTGTCAATAAGCTGTATTTATCAAAGGGAGGTAGACTCACACTGTTGAAGAGTGCCCTTTCTAATCTTCCTGTTTACTTTTTCTCTTTTCATCCTACCTCTGTCTTGGTGGTGAAAAGAATAAAGAGCACACAAAACAAATTTCTTTGGGGAGATCAGGACGATAGTCCTAAATACCATTTGGATTTGAAAGTGGTAAAACAACCAACCATTTTGTAAGAGATGACTGGGCGTATCTTTGTCATCTTTTAATAGAGCTTCACGGAGAAAATGGCCGTGGAGGTTTGATTCGGAGAGAGCGAGTTTTTGGAGGAGGGCGCTTATTGCGAAATATGTTTTGGATGACCAAGAATGGATTACTAAGATATATGGGGAATCGCATTGAGTAGGGCTTTGGAGGCTTATAAGTCATGGTTTGGATTATTTCAGAAGCAGAATTTTAATTAAAGTAGGCAATGGTAGAAAAACTTCACTGTGGACTGATTGATGGTGTGGAGATGTTGTCTTGAAGGATATGTTTCCTGACTTGTTCGTGTTAGCAATGAACAAGGGTGCTGCTTTGGCTGAGTATTGGAGAGGTGGTTTGGCAGATTGATTGCTTACATCAGGTCCAATATTGGCAGTTGGAGGCTTTCTCAAATTTCTTTCAGTTGTTGTATCAGATGGAGCCGTATAATGGGAAAAACGATTGTCAGTGGTGGATTTATTCTAAATCTGGAAAATTTTCAGTCAAGTTTTACTACATGAATCTCGTGTCGACTCAATTACAACAAAATGGGTCTTTCTGGTGGAAGGCTTTTGGAAAGTGAAGGTTCCTCTGAAGGTCTCCTTTTTTCCTTTGGAAGCAGCTTGGGGATGCAATTTAACATTGGATAACCTCCAAAAGAGCGGAAAAGTGTTGGTTAAGAGATGCCTTTTTGTAGGAATGATGGAGAGTGTGAACCATCTGCTTTTGCACTGTAGATGGTTCGATTTTCCTCTGGTTGTTTTTTTGCTCATTTGGAAAGAAAAAAACAAGAGAGCTTTTAAGAATCCTCTCGGGACTCTTTTAGAGATAAGTGGTTATAGACTCTTCACTTTTGGTATAATGCAAATGTCATACTTTTGGCTTATTGGAACTGATAGAAATGACCCGTTGTTTCCAATTTTTACGTATGGGAGACATCGTCTCTGAAGTCATTTTTGTATTGGGGTGGAACCCCTGAGTAACTTTACTAATATAACTTTGTTTAACCTAAAAAAGGGTCAATGATCTCTATGTGACACATATTGCCATTTGATGGTTGCGATAGCTTATGGAAGAGATGTAGTTATATTGCGTACAAACGATTGGATGAATGGGTAGAGAAATTGATGGAAGATCAGGAGCTTGCTTTACCTGGCTTTGACTTATATATGGCCTTTCTGGCTTTACACTAAGATGCATCCTTTGCTGCAAGTTCTTTTCCTTGTAAGAGTAAAAGAAAAACCTGCTATTATAATTTATAAACAAATAGTTGATTTTGCACAACAGGTTCCTATCTTTAGAACTTTACCCCATAGAATCCAAAGTTTTGTTGATATCCCTTTTCTTGGGGGTGAGCCTTGGTATAACAGTAAAAAATTACTCCATTGTGGCTTGAGATTACAGGCTTAATTGTGGAAATAGCTTTCTGGGCCAGGGGTTAGACTGCCTACATCAGCTCCTCTCTAGATTTCGGCAGTACAAGGAGCCTTGTGCATCCGGACTCCTTTTTATTTGTTTATATACTCATCCCTTTGTGGAGTCCATTGTGTTCTTCTAGCTTCAAGAACCCAGCATTCCTGCTTATGAACTAGAGGAGAGAGAATAAGTTTTCCATTGTCTTTAGATTTATGAGTGCATTAGAGTCAATTTACTGCATCATTCTATCTCATAATTTGTGCTCATTTTGTTGATTTTCCGTCTTACTCCTTGCTCGACTCATTTGGTGAATGATGAGACACTTTTTTTGAAAATCATCTACCTTTGCGATTATATCAGAGACAGTTTGATAAAAAAAAGTAATTGGAGAGACATAATCATGGCATGCAGGGTTAAGCCGGCGGGAGCTGTGCAGGATTTGGTGATGCGGGATGTGCATGGGAAAAAACTTGTTTTTGCTCTTCATTCCGATGGACTGTTACGAGTTTGGGATCTCTTTCTCCATAGCAGAATTTTGAGTCATACACTAAACATCCTGTCATTACCAAGTAGTCTTCTTTCTTTGTTGTCCATGTTTTCTTTGTAGGGATGCTTTGTACTTGTTTATTTGCTTTTTATCGAGATTATATCTGTCAAAACATTTCATGTGGTCTCTCTTTTGTTGGTTATCTCTCTATTATCAGGGGCCATGTTGAAAAAACTGTGGGTGGGTGATGCAAATAATGAGATGAATGTAATTCCTTTGGCCATCCTGTACAGGAACAATATGGTATGTATAATCAATTAAAAGCATTACATCTTCTAATGGCATCAGATTCTTACTGGAAGTGCTGTAGAAAGAAATTTTTCTGGCAATCAAGGTTATGCAAGCAATCGTGGTGAATAGAGGAGAAATGCCAATGATCTAATTAAAGATAGATTTGCTTTGGTGGCATCATCAACATAGTTGGACCAAATTGCTGAAGCATTTCTATATTCATACAGTAAAATACTCGAATTAGCTTGTCTTTTCTCTTGGTAAAAAAGACTATGTGGTTGCCCATACAATACATTGAATATTATCCTTTATATTCTGAGGTTACGAACAAAGGGACTTGATAAGGCTGGATAGGTTATGTTTGTGTTTTTTGGGACTATTCTACCCCTGTAGATGCCTTTCATCGATACTTTGGTGGTTGAATCACCTTTTGCAATCAATGTTGCTCTGTCAATTGTGGCTGTCTTAAACATAGCTCCTCCGCTATAGCAATTAAATATCTTGCTGATGGCTCTTTTCCTCGCCGTTTAGCTTATATGCATTTCTGCTTTTTGTAGTTGTCTTCTTTGGGTATAGTAATTGTATGGATAAAATATGCTGGAGTTGTGACCTCGTTCTTTTAATGAACTATGGTAGTCATAAAACAAAGATTTACCCACATCTAAGTATCTCTCTTTAAATTTTCAAAGATTACAAGACTTGGATGTTCTGGTTGGCTCATTGTGATGAGTGATAGTAACATTGAGGCTGGGATAGATAAGACTACTCAATTTTCCTTCTTCATGAGGTGTTTTCCCCCTCTTTTTGAATAGTCTGATGTGAAATGAATCTTGTTAAAGTTGGCAATAGTTATTTTTGAGATTCACTGGCTTCAGCTGTTCTTGTTGTACTTTTGAAGGAAGATACCATGGAGACTATAGATGTATATGGTATTCATTTTGGCATCGGGGAGAGGTCCATCTTGTCAGTGAAAACTTTAATCCAAAACATCCATTTTGAGGAGGTACACAGGCTTTGTTGCCTTTTCATTCTTTTATTAATATTTTTGAGACTTGACATCGACGTCATGCTGCTCATTTCCCACTCTCTTTGACTTATTTTTCTGGCACTAATTTGGTTCACTATGATTGCTAGGGGGGATGTATTGATGCCAAACTTTCTTCAGATGATATATGGATTTTGAAAGAAAATTCTCTGGTATATCGTAGCTTGTTTCATGCTGATACTGATATGTAAGTTTGCCTCATTTTCAATTTACTATATCGTTAGGGCATTTTTATTTTCAGTTTTTGGATTCATTGTTAAAACATTGTTGTACATCAAAATTGGCTCCATCCAAGCAAACTTGAGGTGTGTAAATCCTAAAAAGATTGAAAATTTCTTTTATTCCGGTATCTTGAATGATAATTCTATCATCGATCCTTTTAACATTGACGGTGTCATCCTTCAAAGTCTTATCAACGAGATTTCAACTCTGTTTCTAATCTGCTTATGCAGAAAATGTACTTTTGAGATCGTTTTACTTAATATCAGTCCACTTAGTTTCTTGGAGACACATACCAACATTCACTTTTTTGACCATAGTGTATACCGCATTCATTGCTTTGGCTGACGAGGTTTCAATACTCCCAATTTTCAAACAAATCCCTACTTGATGACTACCATGTTTCTTCACCCATTAAGTGAGATGGCAGAAACCTTGTTCATTTAACACTACTTCTGGACAGTGATAAGGTGGCCCATGCCCACTTCTCACCGCTTTGGGCTACATAGTTGCTGCTTCTAGACGATATCTGGCTTTGGTGCAATTACATTTTCCTATAGGATTCATTTCGTAAGGATTTGACTGGGAAAAATAGGAGTGATGGCTGTTAGGTAGCCATCTAATGCACCTCTCCTCTCCTTTATCTGGTCTTGGGACTGGTTACGCAGGTTGCATTAGTTTCATAGGAAACCTGTACTTAACAATAAAAAGTGATGTGGCCCATTTTCTATGTCATTTACAAGATGTTGAGGCTAATAGGTCTAGTATAGCGTGTATATCGACCTTCTGACATGTGCTGATCTTGCGATGTGGTCAACCCCCTTTTAGGACAAGATCTCTTTTATCCGTCCAACCTTCTGATGTTGGACAATCTGATTAAATAATATCTGATCTGGAAATACTGTTCCAGGGCTTTCAACAGTAGCCATGGAGAGTATAATAATAGTTCTGACTGAAATTTGTTGGAGCATTACCGAAAATTGGATTTATACTAAAGATTTGGTTCAGACTATTTTAGACGGAATAAGGAGGATTTTTTTAATGAAAAGGCTAAATTTCTTTAAGTGTCAAGCTTCTCGCTTGGGGTTCTTAGGCATCACATTAGGGAACGAAATTGCAGTAAATAATCCAAAGCGAATATTTGGTGAAATCTTAATATTATTCAATGATCAGTATCTATTATCTCAATTAGAAGAACTGGATACTTATAAGCTCTAATAAAATCCTAAGCCACATAGAATTAGATCTTAAGTGACTAGAAATAGGAAACTTGTTATAAACCGTAAAAAACTCTAACCGTAATACATACTGATACTAATTTTTGAGAAGAATCTTAATCCTATCATGACTCTTATTTGAGTCATGGATCAATATAACTGTCCATCTCAGCTAACTCATAGATAATGACAAAATTTTGAGAAAATCAATTGATTTTGTGAGGTACGTCATGATTTCCCCAGTTCTCCAATAATTATCTTGCTAGTTCCCTGAATTTTTCTCCTACTTGAGGCTTCGTATACTGCAAGAGATCCCGGGTTTCATCTAGTAGTCTTTGTTCAATTCAAGACACCAGCTATTAGTTCAGTTTCTGACTGGCAGAGGTACACCTGACACATCAAGGGGCACCTATAGTGGATCAAGCCAGATCACTGTCATTAAGTAGTATTTGTTCAACTCAAGACTCTAGCTATTAGTTCAGTTTCTGACTAGTAGAGGAACAACCTGAGACTCATCAAGAGGCCCCTAAGGTGTGTCAACCGAGATCACTGTCAGAAAACTCTGGCCATGTCAGTATTGGGTATATAGTGGGTTAGTGCGGCTGGCGGCAAAGGAGCTTAGAGCTTGGTTGGGCATCTGTTCTAGCATGGAGAACAGAGAGATGATTCCTTTTATTCCTTTAGCAACTTTTTGGCTGATTCGGAGGGAGAGGAATTGGAGAATTTTCATGAACTTTGACAGCCATTCAGTAAAAATTGCGGATTCTTGCCTTTTTACTTGGAAGTTTTGGTTCACACAGCATGAACTTGATGTAAATGCTATCATTGACCTCCTGGACTCCTTATTTTGTACATCATCTTGTAAATGGGTTGGCATCCCCTTGGTGCCCCTTAATGGAATACTTTTTTTTGATAAAAAAAGCAAGAATTTAATACTGACAAACGGGGGTTGTCCCTACTACCCAAAGCATGCCGGCCGTCTCTTGACATTTGCTTCTATCTGCATTTTGCTAAATAGGGCACCTGATGATAGGTCACCTTTTGCGTAAGCCTTTGAAATAGATGAATCCGACTGGAGCTGTGACTGATCACTGAAAATTATACTCGTTTGAAGATGCACCATGTCTTCATCATCCTTTTTGAAAACAAAGAACTATTTAAACGTTACAAGGAACTTATGGATGGGATCCTACCCTTATTTAGAAGGAGAGTCTTACACACCTTAGAACTATTAAAATCTATTTTTTATGTCAAACAAATCGGATCACGACTCTGAAAAGCTCTCAAGTTCTTTCCTTTGGGTAAGCCCAAAGGTCCTCAGCATCATGTAGCCCAATTCTCTCGGGGATGTCATTATCATGAGAGATGATCCTAGGCTTTTCGCACGTCAATTTACAATTGTTAGTTCTTCCACCTTTTAACATGAAGTTAACCATCTTATTCACTATAAAGAAGCCTGAATAGCTGTCTTACCTGGAAAAGGCATTATGGGCTTCAAATGACTTTCTTTACTTAATTTCCAGGACTTTGGCAATGATTTTGTAGATAGATGCTACCATACTTATAGCTTGTACCATTGTAGTATAGATCATCCTGCTTGCATTCATATGAGTATTAGGAAATACTTCCCTGGAAAATAGATTACATCTCTTGTGCAGCTTTCTTTTATTGTGTCATGTGGGGTGACATTGGGGTCCTTTAGTCATAATCTGGATTGATGGTGATGTCTCCTTGAATGTTCTGTATGATCTCTTGCATTTAATTTGTAGCATTGTTTTTTACTATATTGTTCAATGCCCATGTGACATCTATCTTGATTGTAGGGAGGAAGAATTGTGTTATACACTGCAGGAAGAATTTGTTGTGGATCAGCTATTTCAAAGTCCCGAACGTTTTTCAGATGATCTTCTTTGGAGTACATGTTCATTATTACCGTTAATGAAGGTACACTTCCGCTGAATGATGGCTCTTAAAATCTCGTCGCTTATTATCTAGAGTTGATTCTCTGTTCTTTCTTCTATCATCCTTAAATTATGACATGTTCAAGAGTTTTGACGGCCACTCCATGCCTTTTCTTCTAAGCATCTGGGAGGTGCAATCCTTACAAACCATTTACAAGAGGAGAAATCTATTAATTGAATGTGGTAATGTGTTAATTAAATGTCCCCCTTTTATACTTTTGTATGGTATTGTAAATTATTAGAATATTTAATATTAGACCACGCCTTCATCTATTAGCTTAAGCTTTTAGAATTGATGACAGTTGTCTCACAAAAATTTTAGATGGTATCAAAGTATGAGGTCTTGAGTTCAAAATTTTCAAAACCCTTATTTTCCTTGCCATCTACATTTCCATGCTTAAGTTCAGGGAAAAATTCAAACTACGCTTGAGGGGGAGTGTTAGGATACTTAAATATTAAACCATACCTTCATCTAGCAACTAAAGCTTTTAGAACAGTTAGTGGTCTTACAAAATTTGTACACGATGTAATTACAAAGGTGCCCTTGTACAAGAATATTGAAGGTAACCTTATACTCTCGAGCATTATCACTTGTCACAACATGAATGGATACACCAAATTGGGTTGTTATCTCGGCATAAAAAATGTAAACTAAGAATAAAGTCCAGAAATATGTTTTTACCATTAGACCTAGTCACATAGTTGAACAAGCATCAACTAAACTGTCAAAATGACGAAACCCAAGTTTGACCTGATACGACTTGGCCCCAAACATCGGTATGAACCAAATCAAAAGGCTTGCTATCACGTTTGTTCACATGACTGTGCTTTCCTAATTGACAAGGCCCACAATCTAAAATTCTTTAATTGGAGAGACTTGAAACCATATTTTGTTTTCCCCTTTTTGTTTAAGCTTGTGGTGCATGCTGTTGCTTCTGGGGCTTCATATATATTAATGTGTTCATAATATCATTATTTCCTTACGCAGGATAATGCTGTTCCGTTGCTCTCATCTATCTTCTTGGATAGACTTCTTCATCCAGGGGTTTTCAATGATAGTGTTCTCCGTGCTACTATGATGGATTATAACAGGTGTTTGACTGATTCTGAGCTGGAGTCTTTAACGATTGATGGCCTGAAAAAGGAAATTCTCCTGCTGGTTGAATATGAGGTTGCTCTTAAAACTGTTCCTGGGCCCCTATGTTTCACTCAACTGCATGCGTACACATTACTTTCCCACTCTCTGAAATGTGAAAGATGTTAAGGTTGTCGACTCTACTGATCTGACATTTTGTAATTTGTTTTAGGGTGTAAATGAAGCGACGCAATCAACTTTTTATCGCTGGAAGAATTTCTGCAATCGCTATTTTCATTACTGGTGTAAGAACAATGCCCCGTTAGGGTTGCTTCCTCAGCTTCCTGATGGTGGAGTTGGTTTGGTCCGCAGAAGTTCAATTTCCTTCTTTCGTTCATTAGAGGAAATTGAGCTATTTGTTACTGGTATGCCTGATACTTACTTCAAATTGTGTCAATATATTACCAACTGCCTTTTGTTCTACTTGGATAGAAAACAATAGCTTTCCAAGTTGTCTTTTCAATTTGAACTTTTTCTCTGCTATGTCTGACATGATATTGCCTGTACGCCTGTTTGTTAGGTTCGGATGAAATAAGTGATATTGTAAAGTTAAGTTTTAGCTCTTCAGATGATGGGGTTGAGAGTGAAGTTCTTGCTGAAATTTTTGGCTGCATGAATAGCATTGGCCAACAGTTTGGGAAAGCAGCTTCTGCAGTACTGTATGAAGTACTTGTCAGCATGCCGTCAATCACTTCTGAAGAAATTTTCTCTTCTCTACTGAAGACACTACAAACTGGATATAGTTCTAAAGGAGTATCACCTAATGTATCTGATGTGGCATGGGAGAAGGACCCAATAGATCACAAGAGTCTTAGGAGATTTTCTACTGATATCCTGTTGACTCTCCGTCAATTAAACAACAAAGCTTCCTCATGGGGCAAAGTCTTGGAAGTTGTGGAAGGATATTTAAAACTTCTTGTGCCACACAAGGTCGTACAAGAGATGGATGATCAAGCATCTTTAAATATCTGTACTTCCATTGTAGTCCAGGCTACTTCCCAAATTGCTAAGGCGATGTTTGAGTCTGCATCAGACCTTCTTCTGTTCCTATCTTATCTGGTTCACCTAAGTGGACAGGTTAGTTTTTCCCTTCCTATAATTTGCCAATAGATGCAGATTCACTATATCTTCATTATGATTTGCTGAGATAATTCAATAACGAAAAAGTTCTCCTCTTTTATATATTCTAATTGTTCTTTTTTGGCACTTTCTGATGTATTGAACTGCATACTGCCTGATAAATTATAATTAATTCTAAAAAAAGAGAAAAAAGGGATACATATTATGAAGGATTTTTCTTGTTTTTTGCTTGCAGATCAATATGTCCCAGGATGATGTATCTAGAATCCGTTTGGAGCTGGTTCCAATGATTCAAGAAATTATTGCTGAATGGCTGATTATTCATTTCTTTGCTGCTACGCCATCTGAATCATATGCAGTTGAAGATTTCAGTAGTCAGCTGTCATCACTAAAGATTGGTTGGGTTTTTTCTTGTTCTTTTTTTTTTCTTTTCCTTTCTTTTGTCCATTGATCGATAAAGTTGCCCATGGTTTATGCTGTTTGTTGTTGTTTAATTAGGTAGTGGTATTTTAGCTTTATGTCACTAGAGCATTTGTGATTGTGAATATCAAAATAGTGAGATCCTTAATCAGTTATTGACAGCATGACTGCTAGATGATGTGTATTTTGAAGCGTTACTTGAAATTATAGCAGCCAGTTGCTGATGCACCTTTCTTTTAATTATCTTCAGACTCTAATTTCACTGTTCTTTTTTCCTTTCTGTTATTAACTTCTCATTTTAGAGTTGAAAAGTTGCATTTATCTGAGGAATTGATGTAAAATATATTTATACGTGTTATTCTGCTTATGTCCAGATAGCAGCTCAGCTCGGGGTTCATGGGATGAAAAGCTTGGCAGAAGTGACTTTGTCTTGGCCTCTATACTTTTGTTAAGTAGTCATAGCTTTTCTGAAGGTCTTGATATGTCTCTTCCTGATCCTCAAGTTGTTACAAGTACTGTAAGGAGATTTACGAGCTGGATAATATGGGGCATGAATGGAGATGATTCTTCTGCTTTCTTGAGTCATTCTACTGAGCTTGCTTTGATCTTGATCAGACATGGGCAGTATAAAGCTGCTGAGGTTAAGTTCTTTTATGACTTTTCTACCGTAAAGAATATTTTTGTCTAATAATGTGTTGTGAGGGATTTTTCTGAACCACTTCCATTGTTTCCTGCATTGTTCACTCTCAGCTCCTTCTTAGCATAGTGGAAGCCCATTCCCGAAAGGAATACAGTTCTACCAGTCTGCAGGATGAAAGTGGTGATTGGTGCGTAGTGCATCATCTTTTGGGATGTTGCCTTCTCTATCAGGCACATGCATTACATGGATTCGTGAAAGAGAGGAAAATCTCTGATGCTGTTCGCTGTTTCTTCAGGTAATTTGTACATGTGTCATTTTCTTTCTGCATTGCTTGGATAGGACTCTTGGAGGGAGGCATATATTGTTGCGCTTTCTGAAATTTTGTGAGACTTACCTGAAGATTCTTGGAGTCAACACAATGACTATACATCCTTATGACGGCCCAATTAAGTTGCCAAATCGATCAGTAAAAATGGTGTATCTGTCAACGTAGTACCTTGCTGCTTTCGTCTTTTGTGCTGTATTTCCCATTGTCTTTTTTTTTTGTCTGTTTTAACTGACTTCCCTTTTGGGGCCTCATCAATCCCACTTTTGGCTGTTTAATATTTAAATGGAGGACCTAAAGCATAATACTGTTGCTTATGATTTTATTATACGATTGTTCTTTCTCCATTTTGGTGAGCTGCAACTGCCACTCAATTTGGCCATAAACTACTTTAATAGAGTAGGGAATGCTTGTCATGTTGAACTGTAATCAAATGCTTTCTTGTCAGAGCTTCATCTGGAAAAGGTGCAGCCCGGGCTTTGCAGAAACTATCTCCAGAAACTGGATTACCACCGCTTCATTCCCGTGAGTTATTGCATTAAAAATGTCTTAAAAAATTCAGGGAAGAAAAAGATATCTATGTCCTTTCTCTATTAACTTGTTCTACTCTCCTTTTTAGCTGATTGTGTATCACCTGCTGCCTGGAAGCTTCATTACTATCAGTGGGTCATGCAGATTTTTGAGCAACATAACATTAGTGAAGGTGCTTGTCAGTTTTCTTTTGCCGCACTTGAGCAAGTAGATGAAGCTCTCAATAAGAGAATCGATGGTTATGATGGGGACGCATTGAATGAATCAACAACTGCTATCAGCGGACGGCTTTGGGCAAATGTGTTTAAGTTCACATTGGATCTTAATCACTTCTATGATGCATATTGTGCTATTATCTCAAATCCTGATGAGGAGAGCAAATACATCTGCTTGAGGCGTTTCATAAATGTTCTTTTTGAGCATGGTGCATTGAAGGTCCTTTTTTAACTTCCTTTTGCCTTATATTGCTCAATAGTTATTGTGCTTTTAAGTTCATACTGTTGAGAAAATGTTCTGACAAATTCTATGTATCAAGGGTGTAATTTAGTGACAGTTCTTTTAGGGGACAGAAAATCCTTGCTGAAATTATGCTTACTTGTTCAAAGATACAACTGCTTTTTACAAACTAAGATTTCTAGTTTTTAAGCTTTGGAGTGTTGCTGCCATCGTGATGGTCACCACCATCTGGTGCCAGACCCACAAGTATTGGTTGGGGGGCGATGGTGATGGCCAGGTGCAGTTTCATTGGCGATGACTGGTCATGATGGTCATGATTGTGGAGATGTGGTACTGACTTTAGTGGGGTTGCGATGGCAGATAAAATGGCGTGGGTGGCCGCTCGAGTTATAGGCCGATGTTGTAGTGGGTGTTAATGTCTTTTAATACCTTAGTTAAGTTTGATTTTGGAGATTGTTTTCCCTATTTAATGCGAAAAAGTGTTGCCAATGAAGAGGTTTTCTCTCCAGAACCAACTAAAGGAATATCAGTGCCAAATGTTTGATTACTTGAGCTAAAGTGATGATAATTGTTGACTGGCAATGTGTCAAGTGATTTCTGGAAATGAACAACATGTATTAATTTAGCTATTCTTGCTACTATAAGCAAAACGCTGTTTCTTGGACCAATTCTGTTGGGTTACTTATCCATGAAATAAGTTGAACTTTGGGATGTTGCTTTTCATGTCAGGTAATCCTCTTTGTTGAGAATCTAATAGCGTAATATTCACATAGATTACGGTGATGATATAATGTGATGATGTATGGGAAAGCATAAATCTAGTTTTCAAGAAGATAAACCCTACATTTTTACGTTAGGATGTATGCATTCAGTAATGTTCTTTCCCTGAATCTTCTTTCTGTTGGGGTTGGTTATATGATTTTAATCTTATCGTTTAGTTCTTCTGGCTCATATTATCAATTTCAATGTGCCCAATAGCTTTGTGACTGCTAAATTTTTATCTTGTCCTGAAGTCTACTTGCAATTGTTACATTGTAGATTCTCTCTAATGGTCAACTGCCATTCATTGGTTTAGTGGAAAAGGTTGAGCACGAGCTCTTTTGGAAGGTATCCTTTTGTAAAGTTATTGATGTTTGACTCTTCTATAGAGACGTATGAAGAAATGAAATGGTCCTTAGTTTCTATAATTTGCAGGCAGAGCGGTCGGATATTCTGATGAAGCAAAATCCATACAAGTTTCTCTATTCTTTTGAGATGCATCGGCATAATTGGCGAAAAGCAGCGAGTTACATGTATCGATATACAGCTCGTTTGAGGACTGAAACCAGTTTAAGAGATAATCAGCAGTCCTTTCTCTCATTACAAGAACGGTTGAATGGGCTTTCTGCTGCTATCAATGCACTGCATCTTGTTCGCACAGCACATGCTTGGATTGAGCCACCACCTGAGGATATCTCATTTGACCATGAGCCTTATCCGAGTAAAAAGGCTAGAAAGGCAATTGAACCACAGAGTAAATCATCAAACAGAACATCATATTCATTTTGCGTTAAAAAGATCATGCTTCATCTTCTATAGTTTTTAATTCTTGTGAACAACATTGAGCTAGGTAGATTTGATGTTTTTCCCTGTATTGCAACATTTACTTTAATTTTTGACACAATTAATTGTTGTTATTTCGGCTTTCAGCTGCTGCTAAGTCCATCCAGCCCCAAAATTATAATTATCTTGACATCGAGAAACTTGAGAGGGAGTTTGTGATCACATCAGCTGAATATTTGCTTTCACTTAGCAATGTCAAATGGTCATATTCAGGTACTGTATGTGCTTTATTTCATCTCAGCAGTTGGCCTGGTTGATAAAATGTACTAGCATGGTTACTGTTTTTATCTGATGATTGATCAGTCTCTTAGAAACGCAGCATAGTCAAAGAAGCGGTCAGCCGACAGCTTTATATCACGTTTTTTACTGTTCCTGGGCCCCTATGTTTCACTCAACTGCATTAGGTTGTATTGTCTGATTTTAAGACATTGGATTAGCTTGCATGATGGTTGGGTTTTTACCTAGCGTGGGTTTTTTTTTAAGGAATGATGAGTTTATCAGGATTAGATCTAATTTTGTTGTTTGACCTTTGACTTGAATAAGTTTTCATATGCTATGTTGATGTTTATGATACAAATATTATGGAGGTGACATGAGATATCCTGGGTCAATTATTGAACAACTTCATATTGCACGGAAATCTTGAGTTTGCTGTGATGTCCATTACTTTGTGCTTTTCTTCTATCTTAAAGTAGGGAGATGTACATGTAATGGAGCTAAGTAGCAATTTATACTGTTTTCTTCTTTCCCAGGAGATCCTGCTGCTCCTTCAGAATTGGTCGATATCTTGGTCCAAACAAATTTGTATGATATGGCTTTTACTGTTCTCCTGAAATTATGGAAGAATTCAGGGCTAAAGAGGTGTGCAATCTGGAAAAGAGTTGGATGATTGCTTTCTTTCCCTTTACTTGTTTTGCTCGTCGTTTTACAATCATGAACATCCTCTGTGCAGGGAATTGGAAAGAGTTTTCTCTGCTATGTCATTGAAGTGTTGTCCCAATGCTGTTGGTTCTCCAGTCACTGGGTGAGTCCTCACTAAAATGCCTAAGAAAAAGTATATATCAATGGTTGCCTAGAGTTGTTAAGTGTGTCAAATGAGTTTATTTTTCAGGAAAGATTTCAAAAGACAAGGTTTATTGCTGACATCAACAATAAATGAAGATGCTGCGCCTGGTTTGTCTGATTTGGGTAGTGGAACTCCACAATACACGGGCAATTCTCACTGGGAAAATCTTGAGCTTTATCTGGTACATATCTTCATTGCACTCTTTCTTGCTATGCTTCCTTTAGCTTGTCCTCTGCTCCCTTGGTGACTGAATTTGGAGAATTTTCAAATAGGTTACACTTACATGTGATATGACAACAATTTGTACAAAAACTGTTAGTCCCACGTAAGTTTTACGTGGAGTTATGATCTGATGAGGAGATGGAGATTTCAACACTTGTCAAATTAGGGTGATGTATCTGTTATGGCTTTCCTCGTTATGTATGACTACTGGATTTTACTCTTGTTTTATATCACATGATACAGTGGAGTTGATCGAAAATGCAATTGGATAGGGAATACAATGGCTTAATGCATGTCCATTATTAGCTTTGTAGAGACCAACAAATGATGTGAAATGGGGTTACTATACAGTTCATGTGCCTGGTCTGGTTATTTTTGGAATGAATGGAACGACAATGTTATAGGAATTGAATGCATGTAGAAGGCCTGCCTTTTCTTTTCCATCTTGAAGGAATGTCTTTTTAGTTGGAATTGCCATTTAGACTTAACACCGACATTATTATGAAAATATAAACCAGTTGGTTGAGTCCATAACCTAGGTATACATGGTAGCGTATCACAAAAGCATTCAACCCTAGTCTCGAAGTAAATACAATAGCCTAAAGCAATTAAGGGCTTTCTTTTAATTATTAAGTGCATATTTTGCCTTTTTTCTCTCCCTGCAGGGAAGGTATAAGGACTTTCATGCCAGATTGCCTGTTGTCGTTGCTGAAACTCTTCTTCGTACAGATTCTCAAATTGAACTCCCCCTTTGGCTAGTGCGTATGTTTAAGGTACTTTTTCTGTCTTAATTAGACTACCCAAATATTATTTTGGCAGAGGGGCTTCTGAAAACTTCGAAGAGAAGTACTTTCCTACCTCATTTTGCATTTGCATGAGCAACTAGTGTTTTAATGTAAGGCTTTCTGCTTGTCCATTTACTATCAAGTTGTTGCACGTCTGCTCTGATGTCGAAAGTTGCTAAGAATTGGTTATGCATCTCTTTCTTCAATCTCATGTATCTCCTTCGCATTTTGGGTCGTTGCGCAAAAGTTGGTCTTGGTATCTCATGTTGCAAGGGGCATCTGTTCTGATTGAATTTCTCATTTGTTGCTTTCTAATAAGCGATTGCATCAACTTCTGTGGATTTGACTTGAGTTTAGAGCTCCAGGATAAGTGAGCAAGTAACTCAATTTGGTGTCCCATTCCACTAACATGCTGTGTGAAGGTGTTGGTAGGCAGAAAACATTCACCCCAAATGCATGTGTTGGGTCTGCATGGTGCTAGAGTTCTTTTGTTTGCAATTTTTCTAATTGACATTCTCTTATGGTTAATATGAGGAAGAAGGGTGTTCTCAGTTTGCTTTAAGTATAATTTGGAATCATCCCAAAGAGATATATCCGAAGTAAAACAGTCCAAACCAAAGAGATGGAACCTTCAGTTTAGATGTGGGACTTTTTTGGTCCTATATTAGGATATTCTTGTAGGCTTCTTGCAATATTTACTTTATACAGAGAATGTCACTGCGAAACTCATAAGTTTCGGCTAATCTCAACATCCCTTGCATAGAAATTTTGGACCTGTGGTTCTTGGACCCAATTAATCTTACAATTGTAGTATTTGTCTCTTTTTGTTTTTTTTTTTATCTAAATGGATTGAAATTACTGAGGTTTATATTATTAAATGGACCCAACTCTGTAACCTGCTCTGATTCTCTCTCAAAACTGGTCAATTTAATTCCATTTTGGAGGAGCTTGTCAGTTATGACCTGACACCATCACGGGATGCTTCAGTGGACTGATTAGATATTTTCCCCCTTTTGAACCAAGGAGTGAATCATAAAGCAATTTGAGTCCACTGAATTTTAAGAAAAGCTGCAAAAAGACAGCATATAGATTTTTTTGGATCTATTCTTCATAGGGTGCGCCAGAATTGAACTGGAAATTAGGGGAATGTCATAGTGATTTACCCAACTTGCTGCTTATCTAAATAATTTATCGAACATATTTAAGAATTTATTTGAAGAATAGATGATTTGTCAGTAATTTGTGTAATGAGAATTTATACATGATTATGTAAGACATACTCCTTTTGTTAAGTTGGAAACTAAATCAAACTAAAATTGGTGCCACAGTCATTCCAGGCCATAGATTAGCCTTATTTGGTTATAATGTACGGCAAGTTGCGGTATGCTTTTTAGTAAAGGGTCAACTGTACGCTGATTTGGGGAGAAATTTCCTTTCACCTTCTTTTGTTTATGGTCGATTTTAGGATGTCTTCATGTAGATGGCAGCCTACTACGCAGATTGTGTATATCTGTTGTCTTCTTCTGTTTTTCTGAGAAGCATTATGGCTCTCTCTAGGATGAGTTAATTTGATAATAGGTAGGTCAGAATCCAGATTATAGAATAGTTTTCAAAGGGAGGTGTCAAAGTTAAGATTTACAAGTTGTTTGGGATTTTTTCTTACTTCTACATTTTCTTTTAGATTATTAGATTAGACTATTCATCTGTGACTAACGTTGGTTCATGCTGATAAAATTAAACATGAATAAAATCCTCTTCTGTACAGGTAGCTACTTGACAACTTACCTTCTAACATGTAAAGTTCTTATATCGGTTGCTGACTTTACTGTATTTATGTTGCCACTTTGTTAAACTTACAAGTGTTGGTACTTTTCTTTTCTTATAAATAAATATACATCTTGTACTTCTTTAAGTGTATCATATGTCTGGTTCTTACTGTGATGAAGATGTCGCATTCCTTACAATTAGAGACCATTATTCATCCTCCCAATATGATGGATTTGGCAGGGCAATAGAAAGGACACGAGCTGGGGTATGGCTGGGCATGAATCAAATCCAGCGTCTTTGTTTCAGTTGTTTGTTGATTACGGAAGATACACAGAAGCTACACATCTGTTGCTGGAGTACATCGAATCATTTGCATCTGTGGTAATTTGCATTGTGTGATGCTTTTTATAGATTGTTTATCTCTCAGATAAATTTGTTACTGTTTATTACTCAATTATGTTCTTTAATGGTTGCAATTTCGCAACACGCATTCTCATCTCTGATCACTTTTCCTCCTGTTTTTATGAAGTAAATTGTTTCCTTCTTCCTTTCCCTGCCATTCAGTTTCCATTTTGGTTTTGCATGTTTTACATTTATTCTACTATAGAACTTCCTTGGCTGAGTCATCGTGTACATTCTACTTTTCTTTGTTTCGGGGACTTTCTATTGGTGACTTGGAGGGGATGGTGAGGTACAGGCAGGAGGGGGAGAAATTTTGGAATTAGTAGAATTTTAGTACAGTACTCCAGCTTTATCATGACAAATAGTGCTAATGCAATGTTAATTACCGAGAACTAAGTGATAAGTTGCAAGGGTTCATAGAGAAGTTGTTTTATGGGTAAATTTTCCTTATGGGTGAAAAGCCAGCTATATTGTCTAGTGAAAAGAATTAAGAACTTTGATTGATACATGGGTACTCTTTCAGATTAGTGTGGATGAGGTTGCAAAACACGATGCTGTCATATATGGTCTGGATTTACATCTTAATTGCTCTAAGGATTTTGATTGACGTAGCTTTAACAAACTGGGAAAGAACACTCAGTTGTTTATTATTTGTAGTGGGAAGGTTGAACAGTTGAAGCACTTCTTCGTCAGAATATTATTTGGTTCTGAAGATTTGGGTATAGGTTGCTTGCCAGAAGTATATAAATTAGCCTTGTTTAAATGCGAGACTTTTATTTTCTCTAAAATTCTTAGCTGTTGATAGCCTCCAGCCAGGAATTAGTAGCTAAGAACAAAGTGCTGACTCCTTTAAACTAGTAGGAATTGTATACGCGTGCAGATTGTCTGGGCCGTGCATCTCTGAAAGAAGCTGCCATATGAAAACACTTCTTTTTTCGACATATTTAAGGAGAAACTTAGCATGAGTATGTGTGTGGATGTATGGATGTGTGTGTTTTTGTGTGTGTGGTCTGTGTAAAATGATGCTATTGCTTTGACCCTTTACAGAGGCCTGCGCATGTAATTCACCGCAAAAGGCCATCCGCTATGTGGTTCCCCTATACGATTGTGGAGCGACTGTGGTGCCATCTTGAGCAGTTGACCAGGTCTGACCACATGGCTGGACAGTGGCAGAAGCTGCAAAAATTATTACATGGGGCACTTCTTAGCCATCTCAAGCAGGTGTTATAGTCGTCAGTGGATAAATATATTTCATTATACTCTTCAAAGTATACTGCTTTAGCTAACAAACCTGTTAATTTTGCTTTCGCAGATAAAAGTAGATTCGGAGGATGCACTCTCTTCTGCAGTCAATTGAGATACTTACAAGAACTTTCCACCAAATTTGGATGAAGTGAATGTTCTCGACAGTGGAGCTTAGACCAGCGCGACTCTGTTGATGTCCATACATTTTCGTTTTTCGCTGAGACCGATGGCATACTGCGGATGTATTGGAGCAGTGAGGGGAGTAATTTATATGCTGAGATCAATAGACAGCCGCTCTATGTAAATTGTAGGAATGGCCTGTCTAATGTTGTCTTGGAGTTGGTAAGTTTAGGCAAGCTACCTCTGCATACCTATCCATCATGATGTCCGGGGATTGGCAGCGATACGGCCTTGTGTTAGTGTAAAATGTCATGAAAGTGCAATGTTCTTGTACAGTTGATGTGAGCTATCATATTCGGTCTTCTTTCAACGAGTCTTTTATTTAGTATAAAAGCATCATATGCATATTTAAGTCAGCAGCACAGCTTGAGAAACGTTAGTTACGCACCGGCCAGACCGAGACTAAAGGAAATCCCCTATCATGGTGGGAGTTGCACATGCTTCAGATTACGCAGAATATTGACGACGATGTCTTCATAACTAGTGACTACCCTCATGCATCCGCATCCGCCCGATATTATATTTGGGAAGAAGATGCATCTTGATTAGATCTCGGAGTTATCGAATGACTAAATCTTAGTTGTTAGACCGTGCCTAATGTTTGATTAAAGCATCAGATTTTAGCCCATGCAACTGCCCCGGGACCACTTTAGGATTCATCTTTTGATGATTTTATGGTCATCGGGGGGTGGTGTTTGATGAGAGGGGTGCTACAGCCCGCTAAAATTAGATTAGATAACTTAAATTTGGGATTCGTTTATTAGACGAAAAATTATTTTTTCAATTTTTTAGTATTTGGATGACAGAAAATTAATAGAATTACGGAAAACGTTTTCCATAGATTGAAAAACAATCCCAAATTAGGGAAAATGACTTTCCCTCTTGATAAGCAGCAAATCGCTTTCTCTAAACCACCGAATAAATAAAAATTATCAAATAAATTATTTTTCTTAAAATTGATTTTTCATGGAGAATTTTATCATGATGTTTCAAATAGAATAAATGGTGTCTAATGTGTTACTGGAAGGTTGAAATTGTTTTGTTCCATTGGTTTTCAATCCAGTTAACGGTGGTCCGTCCAACCTTCTAGGTGTTTGATTTGAATGAAAGAGGATGCTGTTGTCAAAGGTCTAAAAGATGAGAGAATATGCGGAGAGCATCTTTTTCTCTCCAACCTCATTCTCCTCGCCACGTCCTTTATCTTTTTGTTTACGCACACGCGCTCCATCTCCTGTTGGCAACAGTAAAAATTCCTAACCGGTGGTTCCGTTGCTCAACCGAAAAACACAAGAAAAGAAAGATGACTTTTTTAACGTGACCACGGGGGGATCAACAGCGCGCGTGTGATGTCATCATATGGTTGAAAATTCAAAATTTGCAAACGGATGCGATCCGGGAGAGCGGCGGTGGGTAGTTTCTAATCTCCCTGTAAAATATTCGTGAGGATAAAGAAAAAGAGAAAATGTGCGGGGGAAAAGAATGGAAGCTTCGGATGCAAAGAGGAAGCAACCCCCCTCCTCCTCCTCCTGGGCCTAGAGCCCCCAACGGAGAAAAGTCAAGTTGGGTGGGCGTGGGAAAGAGAGAGAGAGAGAGAGGAGACGAGATTACTTGAGGGGAGGCAAGAGCTGAGCTGAGCCTTGCCCGGACGACTTCTGTCTCCTCTCCTTCATCATCTGCTGCTGTTCATGATGGTGGAGCTGTCGACGACGTCCTGACTTCTTCTTCTTCTTCCTCTTCTTCTTCCTCAGCTCCAACCCTCATTCCTAGTCCCCTTTTGCAGGTGCTTTTCCGTCTCTCATGGGGTAATCGTATTCCCTTTTCCCTTTTCTTGTTTTTCTTGTTTTTTTTTTCTGGGTCGGACTTTTCTTGCTTTGCTTTGTCGATTAAAGATTTTTTTGCCCAAGACGACTGGTAAGCCCCGGCTGCAAACCCTGGATGCGTGACTCCTCTCTGTCTCTCTCTCTTCGCGTGTGTCTGTGTGTGTGTTTAAAATTAGAAAGAGGGACGGCGGGTTCACTCTGTTGGCTGCTTTTGCCCGCCACCTCAATTTGAGCTCCACCCGCAACTACGCTTCTCTTTTACTTGTCAGCTCTCGAGACCCTCTTCCCCGGATGCCCGTCATTTGATTTCTTCACTCTCTATCGGGTGAGATATCTGCTGCCTTGTTTTCTCCAACTGGGTTTTTCACGAATGCCCTACTCGCCCAATATCTCTAATTGATTGGTTGGACTATGTTATTCCTCGTTAGATTACCAATTTGTGGACGCTGTTTCAGTTTGCGAGCAGCCCCCTTCTTCATCTGCGCATTTGAAGTTTCTGATCTGGCACTGGACATATAGGCACTTCCCATGGCGTTGCATACTTCCCTGCACTTTATGATAGTTATTACTCGATTGGACTGTCATATGTGTAGCTAGCTTTCATCTTGCCAGTTAGAAATTCCGTCTTCTCAGTGCATGCTTTCACCTGATTAGCTGAAAACTGTGCTACTTAACGATGAGATATTTGAGGAAATTTACCATCTGGCCTTTGTTTGACTCTTGCAAATTGAAGTGATTGTCACCGTCTTAGATGTTAGATAGAGTACGTTGACTGATTTTATTTCCTTTTTTTACCGTGCTTCCTTGTACCATGCTCATGTTTTATCCGTCCCGCAGCCTTCTCCCTCTTTACATCAAGATGCCTGATTCATCACAAGAAGTTCAAAAACACGATGTGAACCCTGAGCAGCTTCCAAGGGAAGATAACGAGTATGTTAGGCTGGTTGTATCTGATGAGCCAATAACAGCTGAAGCTGACAATTTACAACCTCAAACAGACGAAAGATTTCACAACTTTCTGTGGTGGACCAAAGTCTTGTCATTGTTGACTATTATTACTATCGTTGTCCTTGTTTTCTTAAAATGGGGAGTTCCATTTCTACTGGGAAAGGTACATTCTGTCTAATCCACACTCACAATACATGCATGCAAACATATAGCCTTCAGGTATTCACGTATCACGAACAAGCCAGCACTCTACCGCATGTGCATGTGCAATGCATGCTCTTCCAGCCACCCAATATTGTCTCTGTTTATACTTCGATGATCGTATCGCAGAATGTGGAGAAATTAGAAGTTTCTTATTGGTGAATGAGCTCTTGTTAACTTAAACCCTGATTTTAGTCTCCAAACCCATCAAATCTCTTGTAAATCATCTAGATGTTGGCAATTGTTTGTCTTTCTGCAAATGCTTATGATTTTGAAGATGCAAAACTGGTCAAAATAGCAGAGCAAGTAAAGTATTTGTGGCATAGCTGAAATGAGTTCCTCATTACTAATATATTTGCTCATGGTAATTGTGGCCTCTTGGGGAATCGATATTGTGTCTTTCATCACTTGCTACAGCTAGTACTAACACATCTGAGAATTTTTCCTTTCTTTTTTCTGTCTATTGGTTTGATTCAGTAACCAGTAAACATAAAATATCCTTTTGTTGTGTTACGTGCTGTCTTCTGGGTTCTTGAAGGAAGGTGGTTGCATCTACTGTCTAATATTGTCATTCATTTGATTAGAACCTCTGACAAGTTTGCCATTGTATCACCTACTATTTGCAATTAATCACGTACTTCACAGTACCGCATATACCTAGACAAAAGGAGCCAAATATGGTGTAAGTGGTCAGCTTACAAGCATTTTTAGGAAAATTGGAGCTAATAAAAAAAGTATGTAATTGTTTTGGTTGAGTGTTCCAGTGTGAAATGGCATTATTTTGTCATTCTAATTAACTTATTTTTAATCGCTACTGATGATCCTCGTAACCAGAAATGTCCATTGCTTGTTCTTTATTGTAGGTTCTCTATCCGATTATGCAATGGGAAGCCACTGCGTTCGGTCGTCCGGTTCTTGCCTTGGTGCTTGTTGGTTCTCTGGCTTTCTTCCCTGTAATATTAGTTCCTTCCGGACCTTCCATGTGGCTGGCTGGAATGATATTTGGATATGGTCTAGGTTTCATAATTATAATGGTTGGAACGACTATTGGAATGGTCCTGCCCTATTTAATAGGACTACTGTTCCGTGATCGTATACATGTAAGGGACCTCGTTCTTCAGATGACCTTAGTGAGTAAATTGATTTATCACTAATTACTCTGTGTATATGCAGCAATGGTTGAAAAAATGGCCCCGAAATGCAGCATTGCTTAGACTTGCTGGTGAAGGGAGCTGGTTCCATCAATTCAAAGTGGTTGCGCTCTTTAGGATCTCGCCATTTCCCTACACTATTTTCAATTATGCAGTCGTAGTGACTAGTCTGCATTTCTGGCCCTACTTGTCTGGATCTATTGCTGGAATGGTACCTGAAGCTTTCCTTTACATCTACAGGTATGTCTTAGTTTCCTGCAAATATGAATTCAAATAGTTAAAGCACTGATTCTCCACTTCTGTCCTATTATGGGTATCACCGTGGTCAGTTGATGACAATCTCCGAGCAAATGAGCTTATTCTTAGCTTCCTGTTTCTTTACCAAACAGTTGATAAAAACTTGTGATGCAACATAATACAAGGTAGAATTCTGGCTGTGGAGTAATGCATGGTATGATTGCTTTATCTGATATACATTTCTTCTTTGATTTCATGCAGTGGGAGATTAATAAGGACATACACAGATGTGAAGTATGGGAATCATCACTTGACCACAGTTGAAATTGTATACAATGTTGTCTCTTTTATTGTTGCAATTGTCACCACAGTTGCCTTCACAGTTTATGCCAAAAAAGCCTTACGTGAGCTCGAAAAGAAAGAGGCTAATGGGGAGGACTCTGCATCTGATGATGGCATTCTCGAGATGGAGAAACTTTCTCCGGAAAGACCCACACGTACCAATTCTTTGTTACCTTCGTTATAGATTTTAGATGATTGATACCTGTAAATAGTTGAATATGTAGAAAAGGCTTTAGGGTTCTGTACTGTGGGCCATTTATTTTTTTTCTCCTTTCCTCCTCCACTGATGGCCTAATATGGTTTTTTTGTTACTATAATAGTTGAGAATAGTGGTTAAAGACCTGCTCCGAGTGGAGCATTTGCACATTACTTGTTTGAAGATCTATAGCGGCTAGAAATGGGGACTTTCCTGCATTTCTTGGACTTGCTGCTAATTCTTCTCTTCTTTTCCCCTGAAGCTGAGATGGATCAGTGTGAACACTTAATCACCCTGTACATGTATCTACTCTGTATCGACAATGTGTTCTAAAGTAAGGATCTACATATACTGGTGCAAGTTTTGTACTAATTATTAGCTATTGATTTGCTCTAGATCTACTAATTACAATATAGATATTGTTTAAAATAGTAGTTGATTATTGGCTCTTGGAACATTTTCTGTGAACAAGTACCTTTTTTTTGTCTTCGCTTTGAGTCTTCTTAGCATCATTAATGCGAAGGGCATTAAGTGGTCATGAGGGAGCAGCACATAGTTGGCTCGTATTTGGCACATAGTTGGCTCAGTCCATATATGTTAGATCGTTGGAAATGTATGCACGGTAGTCAGTGTAAATAGGTTTGTTGAAGCATTGAATCGAAAGAAAGGAATGCTTTTACGTTTTGCAAGAAAAGACGAACTTACTGACATTTTAGGGTCGATAACCTAACATGCTCTTTCAAATGGCTGAGTCTAATGTGCCTAGATAGACCTCGGAAGCGGATGCAAAATGGAGCCAAAATTAGGTCATGAGTACTGATATTGCTGTGTTAACCTTGTGTTGAATCATCCGGGCTCATCCGTACGTGCACCAAGGAGAATCAGGCACCCGAAGAGTGTATCCCGTAGAGTTCATCTTTCCTTGAAGCAAAAACGCAATTCTTGGAGCATAACCTACTTCAAGTCCAATCCACGTTAATAGTGAACTCAAAGCTATACTCCCCCTCCTCAATGCCTTGCAATGGCTGCAATTGCAACCTCCAACTGACCCAACACAGACACTTATAATAATAACCCAAAAGAAGGGAAGGAAGAATTTGTCTAGAGCAGTGGTCCCTCCTACTTAACCCAACCAAAGATGAATCCCAATCGAGCTCTTAATCTCCTCTCGTTCATTGTCTCCTCCATTACCTTGTTCCATGTATTCGTTGTGGCGGATCATGAGAATCTTCAGGACATGTGTCCTACCGCAACATCGACTGTTCTTTTCATGAATGGATACCCCTGCAAGAGCTCTGCGAACATCAGTGCATCAGATTTCAAGAGCTCGAAGCTGAGCAGCCCGGGGGACACCAAAAACTTCCGACGATCAGCAGTGACACTGGTCACCGCCGCGGGCTTCCCTGGCCTCAACACGCTCGGCCTCTCTGTCGCACGGTCCGACATCGAGGTGGATGGCCTGGTGGTGCCACATTCGCACCCGAGGAGTGCGGAGATGATGTACGTGTTGAAGGGAGTGGTCATAGCCGGGTTCATGGACACGGAGACCAATGTGTTCCAGAAGCGGATGAAGGAAGGAGAGGTGATGGTATTTCCAAGAGGGCTACTCCATTTCTGCTTGAACGATGGTTTTGACGCGGCCACCGTATTCTCAGTGCTCAACAGTCAGAACCCTGGCTGGGTCGGCATTGCTGACGCCATGTTCCCATTTCAACCCAACTTTGATGATGTAGATGTGGTGAACAAGCTCAGGACCAGGTTGATTGCTTCTTCCATGGATAATCATTTGCGTGGGTAAATCCTACTTTGGGCCGACTCTTAGTCACTCATGTCTGATTTCTCTATGGTTGGAGGCATGAAACTGCGGCATGCACGCGTGTTTTTCTTAGGCATGTAATATGTATGATATGAACATCAACTCGACTCTCCATAAATGCCAGCATTCCAGTGCTCCATCTGAAGCTATATCCATGTTTAAATAGCTTACATTCCAGATCTCTTTAATTAGCCGATGATATGAATCACGACATGACGGAATCGGGATAACAAGGTAAATCATAAATTGTTCAAAAGTAATCGATTTATGGTCCTGTAATCATCGAACTCTTGAAGAACTTAGAATGTACATTAATGATGGTTACTTGCCATTTTTTTTCCGCTGAAAGGGGAAAACGATACACACTGCCTGAACAAGTCCGCATGTGAATGAAATCTCTTGTGCAGGCTCAAGTGTAGAGCCTAAAGGAGTTAACTATAAATTGAAGCAAACTGAGAGTGTCACTTGCCTTAAAAAACAACCAATTCTCTCTTCTGGTTTTTGACAATATATCTCCATCTTGTAGGGAGATTTTGATTATTTTATTTAGTCCTAGAGAGGATCTTAGTTACTGTAATATGTTAAAAGTCCTCTCAAAGTCCTTGATTATATACGTGCGAAATGGCCAGCAAAGGCTGTAAGAAGAATCTTTGGAGCCCATACATTCAACTGTCGAGTCGACAATGAAAACATTTACGGAAGATCAAAGTAATAAGTTCAATGAAAGAGAAGTTGGAGAAAGAGGAAACCAAAATGTGAAAATCTATAAATTACTCCCGAACTTCTATTTTCATCTTCAGGAAAGTAGGGATCATGACATGTCCATAAATGGGAGTAAGATGTTTTATAGTCCTAATAGCGGGATGGAGGAGGGGAGTATTATTTTTGACAACATGATAAGATAAAAGGTGCTCTTTTAATTGAAAAATTAGCAAAACAACCTACAATCTTGAGAGCCCTCCAACTTTTGATTCCAGACATTCTAATCATCTTCTGTGGTTTCTGCCAAGATCTGTCACTGGAAAGAGAACTGGAAACTGACCTCTAACATAAAACTAACATCGTTTAGTCTTCTGAAGATTTTTGAAGGCATCGAAATGCATCTCAAACCATGCCCTAAACTGTACTAAAAACAATCAGGAAACAAGACTACTTGCTTCCAGCAAGCAGGAAGTTCATGACTTTCTGCAACACTAGCAGGTAGAGAGGAACTCTCACCTTAGACTTGACCTATCTAGAGAGTAGTAACCCAACCTTCATTTCTCCAATAACCTGAGTAAATATCTGCAACATGCGCAACTTTCTGATAGTCTTTACTTGCTGTGTCTGCTGAAAGTCTCCCAATCAACTCATCAGGCATATCAAGCAATCTAAGAATCTTTGATTGGAGGTACTCCACACCTTGTGGCAACTCGTGCGATAGCGTGCAGCTTTGGATTGCTAATACTTCCACACAAGCAAGTGATCGAATCTCCATACTATGCAGTCGAGTCTCGCATTTGGTCAGGTGTAATATCTTGAGCTTCTTAAACTCCCCAGCCAGAAATGACAAGGTTGATCAGTCAAAAGACAGATTCAATTCAAGATTCAAAAGATTTAGCAAATGTTAGAAGGGATTTGAGGGATCGTGTTTTAGCTTGCAGTAATTCAGCTGCAGTCTGACCAGGTTATTATCGGACTGTATCCATTTTGGTCGAAAGTTTGATTGCAGAACGTTGTGAAAAGATGTTCAGATACCAAAAACTTGTTTTCAAATGGCGAGGAGCAGTCGTCAAATCTCAAGGACGGTAATTTCTTCAAGTTTTTGAGTTTGTTTTGCCTCTGGTTTCCGCAACAAGACTGCGGAGAACCATCTACGACTCATCTATTCCATGATTGACTCTACTAGCCAACATTCCGCCTGTTGTGACTATAGCAACAGGCACCCCCTTCGGATCTTCTTAGATTCACTCGGAAATGTCCTGCAAATAATCAGGCATGAATTGCCTTGAAAAATTCTGCTACAAATTTGAGTCCAAGATGCTTCCAGGGATAAAGGCTCTGGGAAATAGACCAATGCGTCCATTCCCACGTCGGAAACTGGTGCAAGATCAGCATTTCGTGTCGCAAGCATTATCTTGCTGCTATAGTTTTTTTTTTTGGGTTATGCATATTGGAGGGTGTTCCAAGCGTCCATGCTCCTCACGTCATGTAAAACTACTAGGTATATTCGATCGAGCAACAGTTCTCTGATTAGCATTCTCATTCTATCACCGTCTAACTTCTAGAATTCATAAGAAGTTGCCGTCTTCATACTTTTGTGAAAATGTTGAATGATATCTAGAATCTCACTAATGTTGAAAGAGTGAGTCACGGGAACACTTGCTTGCTTGTACCGCGGAATGCTTTTTCACGACTTGGCCCCCAGAGACTTTCCTTTCAAGGGCGGTTTTCCCCAACTCTCCCATTCCCACGACCGAAACTCCTTTTTGCTAGCAAGTTCCACCTACAAGCGAGTTGATAAGCTCTTCCATGGGGTTGCAATCCCCACCTGACCAGCTTCCTCTGCGAAAAGGGTATCGCAAGGCGGCCCCGTTGGATGTACCGGCAGCCGTTGGACTGCTTGAGAGATTTCCTAATGATCCGGCTCTGTCTCACACGAGTCAAACTCGGTGGACGGTGATTTATGAATCACTGAACATGGTCTCTCAATCCATGCGAGATTTGAGATATTACAAACTCCCACTTATATCACCAGCTTACAAATAGAGCCTTGGGGTGATCATTGTGCTTACATGTGTCATGTTAGGCTCGAAGATCAAGCTCATATCCTATAAATGTGCTTTGCAATGTTCAACTGGGGATTTAGTCCGTGCCGATATTGGATTGGGTCATGCCTTTTAATGGAAGGCCGTTACTTAAACCCACCCATTTGCCTTTCGTTCCTCTCGATCTCAATAGGCTGGCCACCGGCGAAACAAGTTTACTTACCAGGCTTGGTAGTAAAAGAAAAGAAAAGCGAAAAAGGAGAAGAAAGAATTTGTGCATGCTAAGTTTCAGTAGATATGATCATAAATTTAATAGCGTGCTGGGCTTGCTTAGGCCAATAAGGTTCTAAAACACGGTTTGAGTTATTTTGATAATGTCAAGTAATTCATTTTTTGGGACCGACGAAAAAAAGAGAAAAGAAAAAAAGTAATTCATTTTTAGGGCTCAAACTCGAACACTCCGAACATCTCTATATAGATCCGTTCAAGCCCGGACATTTTACAAAGTGCATTTAACATCTTTAAATTTGTTTTAACAACTCCGAGCGGGTGATTTTGAAGCCCGATAGTCAACTCGGTCCGCATTTACCGGGCTTATTAATCAGATTTACATTCTTTGTTTTTCAAGTAGAGAGAGAGAGAGAGGGGAAGGGGATTTTAGGAGGGAAAGAAATCGGCAGCAAACAGATGGACGGTGGGGATTGGATCTGGACACCATTGAAACTTTCCCTCCTCCCCCCGCCTCCCCCTCCTCTTCCCCCACCGGGCCAACCGCCAACTTCGCTCGTCATTCTTTGCAACACGCCCCAATCGCCTTCTCCATCTTCGTTCTCTCTTCAGATTCCTTCATCCTCTTGTCCTTATCATTCTTGCCCATTTGATCCATTTGCCAGTTTTTCTCTTCCCACCGAAATGCTTTTGGAGAGGTGTCGGCATTAGCCTGTGATTCGATTGATGCCATGCCATGCACTTCGCTTCGTTCCAGCGATGGCAACCGTTGCCGCGACAGTACCCGCAAACGAAAACCCACCCACCATCCTGTCGTGCGCGATCCCCAAGGCCAAGACAAGAAGAAGAGGAAGCAGAAGAAGTGCGTTGCAAAGGCGGCTGCACTGGAGGTGCAGCATGTGGGAATCCCCTTGATTTCCAAGGCCACCGGGTGCCCTTGCGAGTCCATTCGGTTGGAGCCCGACCGCCTTTACGCGATCGGCCGCGGCGCCAGCCGGTGCGACTTTCTTCTGCACGACCCACGGGTCAGCAACCCTCATTGCCACATCCTTTTTGATGGTAACCAACGCAAGGTCTTCATTTTCCATGCCGGGTTTCATCCGAACGGCTCCTTTATTCTCCGGGATAAAGTTGGGGCGGAGCACGAGGCTCCTCGTGCTCCTTCGAGTCGGGTTTTCGTCAATGGAGTCGAGTGTCGTCAGGGTAGTGTCGTCGCGTTGTTTGCGGGGGATGAAGTTCTGCTCGTGTGCGGCACTGATAAATGTAGCTCTGGCATTCGAATTGGTTTTGCTATTAGTAGAATTGTTATCCTGGACGAGGAGAGAGTGGTTTCTGCCGGTTCAGATGATCCTTCTGCAGTCAAGGGGAGGTTTTCTTTGCCTTGGAAAACCACTACGACCACCACGACGTCGAGCAGCAGCAAAAGGGTATCGGCTTCCTGGTCTACTGCCTCGTCTCCAGGTCCATCCTCTTCCTCCATTGTTTATTGCCGAGCAAAATCACTCTTGGCTCAGTGCAGGCACATTTTGCACTCGGCTGACCCCATTTCTTGCATCCGGAGATGCCCTTTTTTTCTGGCAACAGCCATGCCCGCTTCATTTAATTGTAAGAATTCATCTGGCTCCAGACTTGATCTTTTTTCCAAGAAGTCCACCGATTCTTGTGGTGAACCAGAGTTGGCAAATGTTTTGCCCATCAACAAATCTGACATCATCTGTAATATGCCAAGCATGAGGTGCAGACTTCCTCACCCACTCACTCATACGCATCAAACTGAAAAGGTTGTGAGCTTAGAGACTGATGAGAAAGTAGCATGTGTTTCTTCGCATGCTGGAAATTTATCTCAAAGAGGCAACAAATATCTTGACAATGCCGATCCAATCACCTCTCATTTAAACCAAGTGCCTGCAGAAACTGGCCCTTGTTTCAATACCACCGCAAATGATGAAAATAGGCGCAGCTCCTGTCTACCTCCAGGGATGAATTTCTGCCTCAATCGTCTTGAATCTGTTGGACAAGGTTCTTTTGGTTGTAGTTCTGAAGTTTCCTTGGCAGAACTTATCAATCCTGTTGAAAGCATAGTGCAGATATTCATTGCGACATTCACGTGTGACATTGCATGGTTTGTACTTCTTTTTCCTTGCACTGATCTGTACCTTTTAATTTCATACTCTCTTGGCCGATGTGTTAATTGTCACTCGTCTTCGCTATTTGCTATGAGTTTTGCAGTGAATGCCTTCAGCCATTCCTTTTTTATATATAGTATGCAGGGGCAATTCTATAGCTCTAGCTTTTCTTGGTAATTTAATAACTATGTGGATAGCTCGTGCATATTTCCTTCTTGCTGACATGTTTGCATCTAAAAAATCAGTCTATATTTACTTGTTTTTGGTTCTTGTTCATGAACGGTTGCTTGTGTCTGTGGTCATCTCACTTAGACATAACGGCAGGTTTCTGTCCTACTGTCAAATTCCTGACCATTTGCCGGTGACCATTGCTTGTCACAACACTGATAGATGTTGGAGCTCAAGCCCTGAGCAAAGAACCCTTGTGCCTTATCCAGAATTCCCAAAGCTTCTTGTGGTGTAAGTTGTTTATCATTTCCCGGTTAACTTGAGTGATGTGCTTTAACAGTTTTACACAGTTTAGTGTTCTTGGACGCTTACTTTTGCAGATATCCCCCTTTTCCCGAGATCATCGCTTTTGGTGGAGATCGAAGGAAGCAGGGAATTGCATGTCATCATCCAAAACTTCTTGTTTTCCAAAGAGAGGATCGGATTCGTATCATCATTACTTCTGCCAATTTGGTTGCCAAACAGGTGATTCCTAGGTTTAACATATTGTGATTTTACATTTGTCATAGGCTGTTTTTTCCTTTGAAATTCTCAAATGAATTATTTTGCCACTTTTAGGTTTATGTGGTAGTTGTTCTCACTTTCTCTTGTTTGGAAATTTTTTATGAGGTTTTCATCTCTTTACATCCAGTGGTTGGATCAATTTGGTTATAATGATGTGGAAAGATGGATGCCAAAAATTATCTAATAATTATGGTCTATGGGAAGCTGTTAGGCATATCTTATCTTTCATGTACTTCTTGCTTTGTTCATTCTCGACTACCTCTTTTTGCCCCCACTAGTTATTAGTTTATGCTGTTGTAGAACAAACTTTTGATGTTGCATTATTCATATGCTTTTGTCTTCTGCAGTGGACTGGCATTACCAATACTGTGTGGTGGCAAGATTTTCCTCGTAGAAGTGTTTCTGATTTCTCATCTTTGTTCACTCAAATTTCTGATGTTGAAGTAACACAAGGTGTACAATCTGATTTTGCTGCTCAACTAGCAGGGTTTATGGCATCTCTTGTGATTGATGCACCTTCTCAGGCTCATTGGATTGTTGAGTTGACAAAATACGACTTTAACAAGGCTATGGGATATTTAATTGCATCAGTGCCTGGAATCCATTCTTATATGCCACAGGAAACTTTGGATCTGACTGATCTTTTGTCTGTAAGTGTTCTATTTTATTGCGTAGTTCTGTCACTTGGAATGGATACATCATCAAATTTTGCAGTAGGAGTTATTAATATAGCTCAGCTGGAGAAGAGGAATCATATCTAATTGGGTCTGACAGTCGCTTGTCTCATCGTCAATGAAAATTGCAACTGTTATAGGGATGGTACAGGTACAAGAAAAACATGGAGAAAACAGTAACGGAAGGGGTTGGATTAGTTGGTTGAATTGTGATAGGCTTGGAAACATTCTCTTTTTGAGGTCATTCACTTTTATTTTGGTAATCTAATTGTTCTTTTGCAATCAATTTATTTTGAAATTACAGATAAACTACAATTTGAGCTCCAATTGATCAACTGATTAAATAGACTTTTTCTGTCAGAGGTTGTTTTTTTCCAAAACTTCAAGCCTAAATTAGATAGAAAATGTAAAATATTCTGGTCCTTTGAAGAACCTAGCAAATAAGAGTTAGTTCGTATCTTTGAATTGCATGAGAATGTGAAGGGGTCAATCTGCTACGGAATTCCAATGATCTGGTACATGAGTTTATGAAGACTGGATTGATGAATCTAAATCATAGATTGGAAGGGAATATAGCAATCTTAGGTACGTGTAGCGAGAGACTAGCTCCACTCAATTGTCATGAGATGAAAGAAGATATACTTTGTTTGGAAGCCTGATCTTTCTATTCAGCATAAAATGGATCACAGAAGAATAATTTCTGGAGATTCCATGATCACAATATCTCTCTAGGAGTTTTATGGCTTATTTATTATTAGTGATAACTAAAAGAGGGCTTGTGAAGTTTGTCAAAGATGCTAGAGGGTCTTGCCAAAAAGTTGCTCCACTTATATAGAGTAAATTTTTTTGTGCCTCATTGGTCTTCTGCATTAAGCTTGTTACATATTCTGACGTATTCATAGTTTTGCTGGAATTGTGACATTGATGCTATGTAACTGGAGGCTATTTTTTTGGTAGGTTATCAAAAAGAGGTTTTTGGTAATTTAAATATTTCTTTTTGGTCTTTCTCTGTTTTTAAGTTTCATCCATCTCAGAAATGTGTCACTCAAGAGAGCTTTCATATTGGACAGCTGCTATTATTTATTTGATGTCTCCAGACTTCAGATACATTACTGCAGAGGAAGATATTCTTCTGTTTTTTTAGATCATTTGTAATGGATAGAGAGATGCTTAGGTGCTTTCAGGAAGGGCCATTTCGGGTTACTTCAACTTAACTTTTGACTTTCTGTAAATCTAGCGACTCTCACACTTTGACTTTATTTGAAACACCTGAAACCTTTCAAAATATTCAAATATTGACATGTAGAATCATATACAATTTTTTCATAGTTTCTTGAAATTTAAAATATTTTTTCTTTTTCATAACTAATTTTGGAGGGAAGTCATAAGTAGAAGTAGTAAGTGGTTTTTAGGGCTTCCAAAATTTATTCTATAATATAGAGATGGTGTTAGGCAATGTTGCAGGCATAGTGTTCATGACCTTCAGCATAAGATAGATGAGTCAGTTCATAGTGTGATAACAGATGAACATAATACTATCGATTCCTTTTTACCTTAAGTTTGGTTTCTTACTTTTTTTAGAGTTCTTGGGATGTGACTCCATGATTTTATTCTTTATCAGGACAACCAGAGTGCATCGTGTTTAGTGTTTCCGAAGCACATTGCCATGGTTAAGGCATCCATTACTGGCGTAAGTCACCTTTTGCATGCGGCAGCGGACTCAGATGGTGCAACTCTAAGGAAATTAGCTATTTTCCTCTCAGATTCTCGTATTAATGCATCTGGGATGCTCGAAACAACTCTAAGAAGAGAAACAAATATACCCGCCGATTACAATGCTGTCAGCATTCTTGTTCGAAATCCCAATAACTCCTTTAAGGGAGGTAAATCTGATTCTTGTTTTCATAAATAATTAACTTATAGATTATTTTTTTACTGCTGGTCAGCAATTATATGTGGAGTTAGCGACCAAAAAAAATAAAAATAAATTATATATGGAGTTGGTTAGTGGGCCAATATGGCAAGCCCTTGAAATCAAACTTGATTGGCCTTATAAATGTCTACCAAATGATTAACATAAGTTACTTACACGATCATTTTAAAGGATTGATCAATTTATGAATTTATCAAAAAAAGTAAATTAGTCTATTTTAAACTTGAAATCATTAATATTATTTGAATTAATTATTTAAGTAATTCGACCAACTTCAGTACGCACTTCATTAATTATTTATGTACTTCACATTTTGTTTTCCAAGTCAGTGATCAGTGGATCGGTCCCTCATTTTGTCTTAATTGGTGGAATACATCTTTTCTTGGAATCCCTTTCAACTCATCATATGCCTATGCTTATATGCGAGAACTTTTTTACATACAATCGTGAAAGAGAATTTGGAGATGGAAGCAAATACAACCAATAAAATCACAGATTCAGTTGCATTTGTCAGGCAGGAATATAATGTTTTTACTTTGGTACAGGCTTCTTTCTTTGGGGTGCATTGTGACTTCATACTTTGTTTTACTGGTTTGCTCTTGTATAAGCTGAAACAATAGAAGCACAATGATCTCATGCCTTTTGGAAAAACCTCATAATGTTGTCACTGGAATTGAATGTAGGATATCTGTCAAGTGTCCTCTTATCTGTCTTGGACCTTTGTGGGGACTTTTTTAAATTTAAATCATTAGTTCCTCTTCTTCTAGAGGAAGCTGTGCATTGAAAATTTATATTTGGACTTTAAATGAAGAAGAAAATGCTTCTCTGGCAGTCATGGGAGAGCTTTATATACCATCTTATCAATTGGATATAGTTGACAACTTCATGTGAGACAGAAGGTGGCTTAGAGTTAATCACTTAATTTATTTGAACATGGCTCTCATAGGGAAGTGGCTATCAAGTTTATGTGATAGGGAAATCATTTTGGAGTTTGGTTACGTGCTCTTGGATACAATAGTTTGTGTCATGATGTGGGCTAGTTGGTTTCAGTCATGGGACTGTGCGGCGCCTAGCAAGCTGATTTACCAGACCAACCCTCCCTTCTAAGGATCATTCCCATGGCTTGTATTGTGGAATGGCTCATTGTGACCGATTGTACCACGTCTACCTTTTACTCGGGCATATCGTGTCCCAAGCAGGGCATGCGTCTCGATTCAATACAACACTGGTTTCAGCTTACCGTGGCCATCAACTGCCTTCAGACATCTTCCACATGAAATTCCTTCCTTCAGTTGATTTCCAGCACAAACTCGTTGACACCACTACCATGATCCGGTGGTATCGTTCATATCGCATCCCCCATGTTTCTTCTGGTATTACGGAGCTCATTTCCATTCCTTCATAAAATGGGATAAAGCCGGACTGTGACATTTTCCCTGACTTGATTTCCATAATGCCCCTGCTGCGGCCTATCTTTGGCTTCCTTGCATTTCCCTAACCATCACCGCCTCTTCCTAGGTCTTACATGAATGCCCAATGCTCACCCAACAGAATCCGTCACTCAGTGTCGCTTCCTCGCATACCAGACCATCACCGCCTCTCCCTAGGCTTTACGTGAATGGCCTACACTCACCCAACAGGAACACGTGTTCCATCTCTTCTGCAAGTCATGCTCAAATCATGGTGACAGATGGCACCTGCACATAAAATTTGGAACCTTGCTCTAATATCAGTTGTCATGGCACCGGCTAATTGTCCTCGGTTACGGGACTCAGGTGCCTGGCAAGCCGATTCACTAGGTCACCCCCCCCTTCTAGGGTTCATTCTCGTGGCTTCTATTGTAGAATGCTCATTGTGACCAACTGTACAATGTCTCCCTTTTACTTGGGTATCTCGTGTCCCGAGTAGGGCATGCATGTTGATATAACACAACAATTGGTTTCCCCCTGCCGTGGTCTCATTAGGTGAGCAACATAAGCTCTCTACTAGTTTGAGCACGATGGCCAAGCATGCTTTTGGACATCTTCCACATGATATTCCTTCCATCAATAGACCTAGCACAAAGCCCTTGACATCGCTCTCATGATCTAGCTGCATTGTTCATATTGGATCCCTCATGCTTCTTCTGGTCTTACGGACTAACTTCAATGCCTTCATGGAATGGGGAAAAGTTGAATTGTGACAATTTGATTCAAGAAATTAAGGTTTTTGAGGATTGCTATGCATGATATCTTTGAGCAAACCAATCTTATATGTATAGTTCAAGTTTTTTGGAGAATGGCATATTCCACCATTATACAAATTTGATTATTTGCTTCTTTGATTGAGGCATTGGTGTAGCCCTGACTCCTAGAGTACTATTTGGAGCTAGGTAGCTAACTAAGTCATTATGTGAATTCACTGTCTGTATAGCACCATTTGGAGCACTAAAAATAAGATTTTGACCTTTGTAGATATGCTTTGTCCTTATGTATTATTTTCTAACTGCCAATACCATTATATTTTGTTCTAATTCATTTTTTTCTAACAGCCAAGTAACATTGGCGTAGAAATGTTTAGAGTTCTGCAGAAAGATTGTCGATTCAATCTCTCTTGCTTGTTCTTATATTGTGGAGGGAAAGGAATTTCAGAGCTTTCCCAGGCAGCACTTATAAACTTTTTCTTTCTATGTATCACGCACTTGGTTCCCTAGCTTAAGACAAGTTCTGTTGATTTTAAGATGAACTGATATTGGCATTCTCCATTCAGTATATGGCTCTTAGTGTATGCTTTCTGAATTTTCTCCTGTACATTCTGTCTTTTCCTTTTGGTGATTTCACTGTTACTTTTTGAGATACTCAAGTACTTTTTTTTGGCATTTCTTCACTAGATTGCATCCGAGTAGGATTTCTACCTAGAAATTTTGCAAAGTGGGTATCCCCCTTGTGGGACGAAGGTTTTTTCAGTTTTTCTGGCTATGTTTGTCCAAAAGAGGTGCTTGCTGCTGCTCTTGGAGGAAATAACAAGAAAGTATCATTGATACTACATGTATTTCAGGCATGTAACTGCTGTCTACTTCCTGATATAAACTAATCATCAATATCTGTATCTATCAACTTCTTGCCTAGTACGTATTATAAATGGTTCATCTAAAAACCTATTTTTGATCTTTCTAGGGGCCTTCTTTTTCTGACATGCCAAAGTTGATGCAGCATCATCATGTGAATGCCTTGTGCTATTTCATTGCTTCTATTGAAAGGTGTAGAGGACTTTATAGACTACGTGAGGTAAGATGCAGGAGACTGATTGTCATTTTCAAGCAGCTTGTTCTGGTACCTCTGAAGTTTTCAATGCATATTTATTTTTTAGAGGTATTATGCATGCATATTTATGTGCTCTATGGACTGATGAGAATTTCGATCCAAAAAAAAAAACAAAATGGTCTGATGAGAATCACCTCCTTTATCACATTTACTCGCGGAAACTTCAGTGCTTAATTTCAACAAACCCTCCTTCCCCCTTCTTATCATCCCTCTCGATATAAAGAAAGGCGGTCCAGTGTGAATTATTTTTGGAGAATGAAGACATTTAACTTTACCTAGGCATCCCATTATCCACCTCCATTTGTATTGTTAGAAATTAACGACTTTTTGTTATAATTAGCCCACTGACAGTTTTATCTACGTAAAAAGCCCCTTATATTTCATTTGCTTCCTTGAAAAAATAGTGATAATGGCACCATGAGATGCTTGGCATCTAGATGTTTCATAGTTAGCCTTGACTTTTGAAACTTTGATCTGGTTAGTGGCTTTGGGCATCTACAGCACCTTACAGGCTCTACTTTTCGTGCAACTGATAATAAGTTGCTTTTATGTTCTCAACTTACATTTGGGATAAACATGTCAGCTGCACAAATAGACGAGTAAAAGGAACATAGTTGCTCCTTTAACACATTGACTGCCTTATAACTAGCTTTCTCGGGTAGAATCCATTGCCGACTACTTTAGTCATTCCTGGAGAGACCTGAAGGAAAAGTGTGATTTTCTCCCCATTAGTTCAGTGAGCAGTGTGTATGAAATTCTTTTTAAGGTGTTTGCAACAAGATTAAAACGCATTATCAGAGATGTGGTAGAACCTTATTGGAGTGCTTTTGTTGACCGAAGACAAATTTTAGATGCAGCTATGTTCGCAAATGAGTTAGTGGATTCCCAATTTAACACAAAGAAGAAAGTTGTTATTTGCAAGCTCGATGCTGAGAAGACTTTTGACTATGCTTTGTGGGATTGTCTCTGTATGTTTCAAAGAAGACGGGGTTTGGAGAGAGGTGGTGCAATTGGATGAAATGGTGTGTCGCAGCCCCTACAATTTTCTATTATAGTTAATGGCTGCTCATCTGGTTTCTTTCAATCTTCCCTTGGCCTTAGACAAGGTGACCCTTTATTCCCCTTGTTTATCCTGATGATGGAAGTTTTTAGAAAAATGGTCAAAGCGTCAGACTTGGTATGGTTTACTGGCTTCAAAGTTGCCAATGGAGACATGGAAATGATTGTATCACATTTCTTCTTTGCAGATTGTACCATCTTTTTTGTGAAGATGTTCAACAGTTACTCTATTTGAGGAGTATCCTTTTGTTTTGAGGTGGCTTTTGGGCTTAAAATCAATCTGAGTAAAAGCAAGCTTATTCCACTGGGTGAAGGAGTGAACAATACTTGATTATCTTCGGTTGTGGGGTTTTGGTTAGGTTCTTACCTGATCACCTACTTAGGTCTATATTTGAGCACTAATTCCAACAAGTGTAGCTGGGAGCCTGTTTATTTAGAAATTTTAGAAGAGGTTTTTTGGCTGGAAACATCTTTCCTGTCTAAAGTGGGGATATTAAGATTTAATAGGAACGGAGCTTTCTTGAAGCTTGTACGAAGAATCTAGCCCTTACTAAAACTACTCTCTCCAGTCTTCCTATTTATTTCATGTCTCTTTTCCCCATCTCCTCACTGTGTTGCTAAACGGCTGGAAGCTATTTAAAATATTATTTTTTTTTGGTGGGGGCTGATAATAAGGAGGCTCATAAATTCCCTTTGGTGAATTGGAATGTTGTCAATCAACCTTTTTTGCAATGGTGGTTTAGCCATCAAGTTCCTCTCATTATCGAACAAAGCTTTTCTCAACAAATGGCTTTGGTGGTTCAAAGTCGAAAATGAACATTTCTAGAGGAAACTGGTGGCCACAAAATCAGGCAATGAATAGGCAATTTTGTTGACTAAGGATAGGAGAGCTTCACATGGCACCGATTGATGGAGGAGGATTAGAGAGTAGTGGAGTGAGTTCTTTGTTGATACTTCATTTAAAGTGGGCATCATAAACCAGACACTTGCTTGGTCTGACTTTTGGCGTGGGACACATCATTAAAGATAAGTTTCTCGATCTCTTTGACCATACCAGAGAAAAGGAGGTTTGGCGGTGGATTGTTATCGTTTAAATGACGGAATGATCACTTGGGATATTTATTTCTTGAGGCAAGCCCAAGATTGGGAGTTCAAAGTTTTTATGCTTGGTATGATTTGAAGATTTCCACTGCTTCTGAGGATACTTCGATGTGGAACAATGGAAGAGATTGAATTTTTTTATTTATCTTACTATAAGCAGGTAGATAGGGAGGTTTGGTGGTAGACTGGACTTTCCTTGGAAAGTAATATGGAATATGAGGGTTCCAACGAAAGTTCTTGTTTTTGGCTTGGGAAGCAACTTCAGATGAATTCATACCTTAGTTAACCTACAACAAATGGCAAAGTACTGGTTAATACGTGTGTTCTCTGCAAAACGGAGGTAGAGACTGTGTGTCTTTCATCCTTCATTGTTTTTGGATAAGAATGTTTGGACAACAACTTAAGCTTGCACTGGGTTATCTTGGGTTGAATGTCCTATTGAGCAAGAACTATGGGCTTGGGGGCATCAAGCAACAAGACATGTAGATTGTCTCATCTCCTCTCTGTTTTTGGTTGATTTGGAATGAGCGAAACAAGAGAGTTTTGGATGGAGAGGAGTCTTTTCTTTTTGTTTTTATTGTATTGGCTTTAAGTTTTGCACTTTTGGTGTAGTGAAAAATTGTGTATGGATGTAAATCCCTTGGTTGATATGGTAGATGCTTTGTCATGTGATTGATCTCCCTTTTGGTTTTATGAGCTCTTTGTCTATCGGTTTGCACCCCCTAGTGTCCTTCAGTTGATCTTTCCACCTATCGAAAGAAAAGGAATTATGATTGAATAGGCTATCGAGGAATGAGCAGAGGGTTTCCCTCTTACCAAAGGCGCTTTTAGCCCAAGTGCCAAATTGGGTCAGTGGCAGACGAGCCCCTTTAAATGTGCTTCCTTTTTTCTTTCCTCTTAGATTGCACTCTAACTTCACTTCAAGTAATTTCCCAACAAAATAGTCCAAAGCTTCGTTCTTTTAAGAGTTTGACCAAATAGCGAACTTAGCTTCAAAGCTGAAACTCCATTTTAAATTAATGCTGGAGAATCTTTTACATCACAATCTAATTAGTGCATAGTAGAAAAATTTTAGATAGAATTTAAATAAATGTTTAGGACATGATTACACCAATTGAAATGTTCAGGATGATGACACTTCATATAGGAGGTTTCAAATCCCTGGTGTAATCTCACCCTTTATTGGACTAGAGCAATTAAATTGGATTATGCTTAGGAAAGTTTACCAAAAAAGAGCTTTATAGCTAAAGATTTAACCAATTAAGTGATTACAATTTCTTTGTTATAGTGCATGTGCAATTCAATAAGTAATTCATATCTGTGAGCCTACATGACTTGCGTGACGCCTCACTTCCCTAGCAATCATTCACAATGGATATGTGACCTGCGACTTTGATCTAAATTCTTAGTTTGGAGGAATAGGAACAGAAGAGCCCTTTAAGGAATACCGTTCTTGGGTTGTTCATCAAAAAAATTTTAGTATAGTTGAGAGTTACACATAGGGGTGTGTGTGCGCTCGCGCACCCACAGTGCTCTACCTTGATTTTTTTTGCTGGTTTTTTAGCTTATGTAAAAATGTATCACTTGGGGCCTTTCCAAAATGTGGTGCAACCCCTTTGTGCCCTCTCAATTGAAGTTATTGAATTTACTTACGGGCTTATCCATCTACCCACACACATACACACACCAGCATGCATGTATATACACATCCAGGATTGGAATTTGTGGGACCACCGCTAACTTTCTAAGGCTCAAGTTTAAGTGAAGGCATGGTTTGATATTTAATTGCCTTAACACTCCCTTTTACACATAGGCTGAGATTTGGCCTAAGACCGAAGTGTGGAAATATATAAGTGGAGAGGCAAAGAGGGGGTTAGATAGTTTTGAACTTAGATACTCTTTCTTGTATATCATGTGACATTTGTGAGACTACTACTAGGTGTTCGAAAAGCTTAAGCTGTTAGATGAAAGTGTGGTCTAAGTTTTAAACGTTGTAACAAAGACAATTGGAGCTTTCATGTTAGTGGATTCTACATTTTGCCTCTACCTCGTGGAGGAAATATTACTGAGGCATATTGGTACTTTAGAATATTTTGCTTGAACCACATCTAACTAATTTTGTTGTTTAATCAAATGAGTTATTTGTCTCTCTTCTTTAAATTTCTGGATGTCTTAACAAACTTGATGATTGTTCTATTGTGATCTTGATATGGAAATCTGCAAATCTAGAAATTCATTGTAGACAATTGACCCTCTCATGGACGTTTAGGCTTGCTAGGTATACATTCCTTAGTCCTTTATTCTCTTATGAGATTTTCTTTTGTGATAAATGCAATTTTGCAAAGTCAGCACTTCATCATTTAATTTTAAGTATAAGACTTTTGGTAATGATGAAAAAAGTACGGTCCTACAGACCTTGTTATTTTGCCCTCAAGGCTTGAGAATGTGAAGTTTTTGGTACCAATTCTGGAAGTAGCTTGTCAATATCTGCTTGAGTTACACTTTTATGATCTAAATGTTCGTATTGCAATTTGTTTTACTAAGTTTGAGTTGTTTGCACCATCATCACGTGGCATATCCGTGTCCATGTTTATACGTTGTAATAGGTTTTTTAAGGCAATTTCTGAGACAGTTACTTGAAGCTTCTAGTGAGGGTGTACTACGAATTACGGGATTACAAGGTATTTGATTGTTGTTTCTTTCGGGGAAGTTTGTGTTTATCAAGGCTGGCACAAAATCAAGAGTATTAGTGGGGGAATATTTATGAATATAAAGCATGTTAAAATTGGTTAATGAGAAAAAAGTAAAGCTGGTCAGTTGAACAAGTTAAGCTATTATGCCACTGCTCCTTCAAGAGAGCATTTCTGTCTGTGAATGTTGCGTCTGAAATGTCTTATAATTATTTTTTTATTTTTCTACAAGGTGTTAGATCAATACAGGTGGCCTGAATCACTAGAAAGTGACTTTGTTTACGGTGAGTTCATTTTGCATTGCTTTTATATGGAATTATATACTTCTAACTCCCTAATATTTTGCTCAATGATTGTTCTTATTAATACTACTAATTGCAATAAATTTTCTCTTCTTTAGGTTCATCCTCCATCGGTTCATCAATCAATGCACAATTCTTGGCCGCTTTTTCAGCTGCTGCTGGAAAGAGATCTTTGCGATCGTCTGATTCTGAGGAGTCAGATCCAGAGGTAGGCAGTTATGCCCTTATTATATGGTGAAAACTCATGGTTCAATTGATAGTTGTTCATAACTTAGATGTGCTTGATTCTCTTGAAGCAGTGGGGATTTTGGACTGCTAGTCAAGAATTGAAGAATCCATCAATTAGAATTATTTTTCCCACTATTGAGAGGGCGAAGATGGCTATTAACGGAATTTCGGCTTCAAAGCAGATTCTTTGCTTCTCAGAGGTATGCTGGCCTCTTGACCGGGTGGGCTAAAAGCTTTCCTGTACTTCGGCATCCTTTTGATGTCAGAAGGTCTTGTATAGTGCCCCTAAATATGTTTAGAAAGGATAAAAGCATAGAAAGAGGGAGTGTAACTTAAACAGAGAATATAATACAAAACTGAGGGCAAAAACTAAAGAACACAGAATTTTTTTTTCTTAATGATGTCTTCCCAGTGGCAGTTGATTCTTGATTGCTTCCATAAGCTTGTGATAACGAGGTATATCCTTTAGATAGTTTTTTTATGTTGCTAGTTCATTAATTATACTGGTGATTGCAAGTAATTAGTGAATCGACCCCAGGAATATATGTGAAGTATTTATTTGATATGATGAAAGAGTTTACTAAGGTCACTGTACCTGACTTCTGAGATAAGGAATGGATTATGTGAAACTTAAAAAAAGACTGTGGATTGACAAGATTATCAACTATATAAGCAATGGCAAGGTAGAAGTTGAAGAAAAGAAATGCTAGAGGCCAAGGATTGTACTTGATGCTATCTCTTGTGTGCTAAATGAAAATGTCATCCTCAGCAGCAAAGCCTTTTTCCATTGAGTGGGTTTGGCTCCATGCATCTTATTTTGTCAACCACTTTCAATACCATCTACAATAAGGTCTAAACATTGAAGATCTTTCATCATATATTTGTTCATGTCTTCTTTCCCTTGTTCTCCTTTGATCTACACAGCATCATACAGTTAAAGCTTTGAAGTAGCATTTGAGGTTATTGTCTCCTGTTTCTAAACATTTTTATTTACTTTTTTTTTCATCTCATCTCATCCGAGTGGGTCACACCATGTTCTTGTTTGTACATTACTCGCTGCTCTCTATTCTTGAGTGCTCATAAGTTCTTTTGAATCATTCTCTGCTGGTCTGTGCTCTTTTTAGCGTGGGATGTTACTTGGTTGACCCAAATTCATTGGCTTTGCTACTATCCTGTCCAGTTTTCCTTGGATCTCAACAAGGGTTCTATATTATAGACAGGACACTAGACATAATTCTTGCACATATAAGCATTACTTTTCTGTACTAAAACTTGCAGTTTTTGAGGTTTCTGAACCATTTGCTGTCCAAGCATGAGCTTATCATGCCAGTGAAGTCCAATGCCTGTACATTCAGATGGCTGATCATATATCTCTGTCTGTGTACAGGAAGGGTTGTACTTATTGTTTTTCTGGTGCTTTTGCTGTTGTTAAATGGTAACTAATGGGGCTTATCACTCATAGGCTGTTTGGTTTAAGTGAGTACCTTACGTAAATATTCACTGGTTCCCATACAGAAAACATGGCAAAGGTTGAAGACTGCAGACATACTCGATGATGCAATTCCTTATCCTTCCTATAGGATTGGCCACCCAATTCATGCAAAGGTCCATTCCAATCTTCTTCTCCAGTGAAAATAAACTGTGTTGTTCAGATTCCATCAATTAGCATGCACTCATGAATGATAAATTATACCCTTTTGCAGAATGTGTAATAGATTGTATCATAATCTGCTAATGAAGACAGAAAGTGATCATTTTTTTCTTTTAATTTTTAGCTATGGTAAAGTTATGCTGGTGCATGGATATATTCTATCTTAATGATCTAACATTCAAGACTGAAATTTAACATCTCAACCAGCATACAGATTCACTCTAATCAATTTAATACCATTGCATTCAGCTCAGTTTGGGCATTGGAATATCGATCAGGGGTGCAAAACCCAAGATTTCAAAATCTTGACTTAGCAAACAAAGTGAGGCACTCAACCATAAATAGCTACTAATGCATTTTGCTTGTTTTTGAAGTACTTCAATTAGGGTCCTGTTAATGAGTGCCCACGGATTATTTATCTTAAAATGAAATTTGTAAATTTTCCTTATTGATTGCTTAATAATGACCCTTGGGGCACTTGTTAACAAACTCCTTTTAAATAAAGTGGGATTCTGTTATGACTTATGAGAGCACTGTACTTGGGCTAAGGTGGATGGCCATAGTATATATTCATTATGCATGATGCACTAACAAATCCTAAAAGGAAAATTAAAATGAACTTATTGTTAGACAAATGTTTTTTACCAAAATTTAAGCTGTTAGGAGAGAGAGATTCTTGTAAGTCAGGATTATGTGGATGTAACTGTATTGGCGTGATAAATGAAAAACAAATAATAACATATATAATTAAAAATTAGGGTGAAGAGAGAGAGGGAGGGAGGGAGGGAGGGAGGCAGGGAGGGAGAGGGAGAGAGCATAACATTGAGAGTAACTTTATGCAATCCTACAACACTTGATTTACATAAGAGAATACAAAAAGAAAAGTCAAAATCTCCTAGGTTTCATCGTCATGTTATTGTGCAACTTGTGGAGATAAAATGCGTTTCAAAATCTGAGATTAAGTGATCTAGTGCTCATCTATTTTGACTATTGTGAAGTTATATCCTACTGAGGAAACATTTTGTGATAACTTAAGCTTTTGGGTGAAATAGTTGTTCAAAAGGTATTAAAGCTTCGGGTCAAGGGTCTGAATCTTGGCACTATTTCTTATTGCTTGCATGTGCCCTACTCATACTTTTACCCTGGTTGTTTTCTATTGCGGTCACGTTCACATTTTTATGTTTCACGCGTATGGTCCAGCTTACATTGTGGGGGGGGGTGGTGTGGGAAGTATGAAAATTTATGTTTGATTTATGGAGGACACATTTTCTGACAGCTCAAGCTTTTGGGATACAATTTAGAATTCAGCGAAACCTTGATGGACAAAAGCACATGAAAATATAGAATGCACAAACATCGTTTTATTCACTAAGCGAAGCACAATTTCATTTTCCAACAATGAAGCCTCCTGTGCAAAAAATAAAATAAAATGAAGCCTTTAGTATGGCCTAGTTAGACACTATTTTTTATAGAATATACGCTATGACGAATATGCTTTCCTCTTTAAAGCACTCTTTCCTTTTTGTGGTTCTTTTATTCCCTGTATTTTAGAAACTGAATTAAATAACATCAATACATCAAATGGATCGCATCCTTTTTCGTTGTGTGTGTGCGCACCCGCTAGCTAGTAGAGGTGGGAACTTTAACTTGACAAAGCCGGCCATTCCATAAAGAAACTGACTCATCCCAACCCCGAGCCAACTGAAAAAGTCGTTGACTTAAACCTGGTTGAATATGAATTGAAAACAACCTGCACTCAAGAAAATCATAGATTGAGTGATTGATAATCGATCCATTCTCAATCCAAAATTAACCAAATCCAAAGTAGCCTAAGCTTGAAGTATGCCAAACCTGAGATAACCCGAACTTGATGTACACCGACTTGTCATGATATTTAATTCTAACTCTGATGAACCCAAAATAATAGAAAAACCAAATGCCAGCGATTTGGACCTTAAGCGAACATATGATGAATGCTTTACATAAACCGGACCCAACTCATTCTGTTAGAAAGTGGAATTTGAGATGATCCAAGAATTGATTGACAGGAACCCAGTTCTGACTTTGGGATGACAGAACCTGAAATGTCTGGACCCAAAAGTAGTTGAATCTGAAACGACCCAACCATAAACCAATCTGAAACAACCCAACCATAAACCAACCCGGTCCACCTGTTTGCTGCATCATGTGCCTGATGGAGATTGTTCCACGGAGACATATTTGGTCTAGATCAAGTGTCTTTCACCTTGGTTATGATCCGATTATGGTGGGTTTGGAGGACTACCATGACCTGAGAGATCTGATTGGGCGCTTGAGAGGCCTGGATGTCCAAGTTTAGCAGAAAAATAATGTACATACAGGAAATGAAATAAACTATCCCTTATTCACATGATAGATTTGATACTGAAAAGTTTAATTAGGTTGACATAACTACTTCAGAATAGTTCTTACCTTCCAAAGGTTTTTCTTTTTTCACCCCTCTGTCATTGCGAGTAAATCATCATCTTCGGCCATATTAGCAGTATGGTCCATAAGTTTGGCAGAATTGAGCAATCTGTCTGAAGTTTTTACCATTTTATGCTGGTGATGTAAGCACACATCTCCTAGTTTTAAAGTATGCAATTGAACTATTTAGTTTGCTGTTATCAATGTGCATATAATTGGTTTCCTTTGTCGCTTCAACATCAATAGAAGCATAGATTAACCAGTCAAGTTGGTGTGGATGGTCTTTGCATGAGTTTTCGGAGGTCAATAAACCCCAAATATATTCCTGAGAAATATTGTTTTCATTTGCAATGAGCATTGTAACAGTCAAGTTGGTGTGGATGGTCTTTGCATGAGTTTTAGGAGGTCAATAAACCCTAAATATATTCCCAAGAAATATTGTTTTCATTTGCAATGAGCATCGTAAGTCATAGAAATACTTATGACAAAAGTGCAGTAAAGGAACTGAATTGCAAACAGAAATTGGTGTTACTGAGACAAAGGTATAAGACCGCTTTGCACTAAAAATTCAATTTCTTGAGCTATAAAGAAATTGAAAACATTGTTGTAAAAATTGATTTTCAGTTTGAGGATATTCTTTTTTAAGCCTGAGCTTTTTGGGTAGACCATCTTGTATAGCTTTATCTTTACCGAGGTATTACTATTGATATAAATAACTGAATTGGCATGGCAAATCACTGGGGTTATTTTGGTTGAGAGAATTTTGCCTTCGTTTCACTGTCGGGATGTTGTATCTGTGCTCAGGGACATTGGCACGTCTTCAGGGAAATATATTTTTTTTCAGGTGGCAATGAGGCGCTTTAAGTCCAGGGCAAGTGCATGTTCTTTTGGTTGGGTTTATTGTGGGTCACATAATTTCAGTGCAGCTGCTTGGGGGAGGTTGATTTCCAATCAGTCTGGTGGAAACGTTAACACACCTGGTCGAAGCAACTTCAATTTGAAGAAGCTTCACATTTGCAACTATGAACTTGGGATACTGTTTGTTGTTCCCCCGACAGAGACACTAGCGAAGGGCAGCCACATAGACTTGGACAATATTGTTTTGCCATTTGTCATGCCTGCTCCTAAATATAGGTCTTGTGACAGGCCGGCAACAGCAAAGGCTATGAGGGAGGCGGGGGTTGAAGTCAGTGGATTGGGGACGGAACTTTCAGAAGTACCATCTGTTGACGAAATGATGGAAGAGAACCTTGATGGAGAGGATTTAATTGAGGTTAATGACCAAATCGCTACAGAAAAGGAGAATGCATTCGCTAATCAGCTCTGGAGCCAGGTTGATGCATCCCAGAGCTGATAATTCTTTCCATCTTTCAGCAGAAGACGCAAGTTTCATTTTGTGAACTTTTCTGCAAAAGATGCAATTTTCCAATGAGTTAAAATCTATTCGGATGTCACATTTATCCACAAATAATTTGGCTTCATCTGTACACAGTTCATTGTAGAAATGATTGACTTAATAAAATGAAGGTCCTGTACAATTTCTGAAAGATACTTTGTACTGCTCTAAAGTGTTAATGGCTAGTCGACATGGAAGGGTAGTTATACCCCATCTGTTATGCTGATCGAGTCATAGTTTCAACGATTGTCTAGTCCATTTCCCGAAAGAAGAAAACGAGGTTTGTTTTTTATTTATTTATTTATCTTTAATGTTCTACATACTAACCAACATTCCTCTTTTAGAAAATTTCTGTTCAGTCTCTTTTTGAGATTAATATTGACGCGATTCTCTTTTTTTTTTTTTTAAAACGTGGTATATCTGAAGTTTTGGGTCTATTGCTTCTCCCAAGCAAAGAAACCACCCCGTCTACAAGTAGTGGTTTGCATTAGCTAAGGCTCCACTTATGAAGTGATTGGCTTTTTATTAATGGTACTATGCATTGTAGACGTGGCTTGAACATGGAATTTGTCGCATTTGCCCCGTATGCTTAATTCCTTGGCCTATCCCTTGGAAGCTCGACTAACTTTCATAGTGGGATTAAAGAAGGTCTCATGAAATGGCGCTTATCAAAAGTGAGGATCTGCACAGCCTTTGCCTCGGCTTGTGAGGGTTGGTGCGGCCCTCGCTCAACCACGGCAACGGTCAAACGACCCTCATCACGCCTTGGCGATGGTCGCCTCTGCCCCTGCACAAGCGACGAGAGGGTTGTGCGACCCTCATTCTGGCTCAACCATAGCCAGCCCTCTGTGTCTCTCCCTCTCCTGACCATGGTCAGCCCTCAAGTCTTATTAAACTGATTTTAAATTGTTATCAATAATTGTTCCTCCCTTAAACCCTCTCGTGTTATGGTAAAGCATAATTTATCATTTAACTGGAATACCATATATATAAAATTTAATGACAAAACCCACACCAAAGCTAGTCTATCCTATCGGGAGTATAGCTTAAAGATCAAACAAGATTTGCTCAATAAGCGTCTTAAAACGAATCCAGAAGCAGAGATATCCGAATTCGAGATAACGGCAGAACCACTTTCTCTTGCAACTTTATTTCTATACGGAGATGGTGACAATCAACAGCAAATATCCTGTTCAAAGCTAATCAGATCAGTGCGTTCGCACAAAAAGAAACAAGACTACACCAAGCATTACAAGGACCTCTAAGGCCAAATCCGACAATGCTGCAGTTTGAAGAGTATAAAAAACTTCTACCGGGTATAATTTGCAGAAGCAACATCCAACAAAAGGATAAAAAGTAGATTTTACACGGTATTTTCATCTCAACAGTCAGGCAAAGTTCTGGTGGAGACTGCCAGCAAATTGGGGCGTCCTGTCGCTAGTCATTCTTGGCAGTGGCAATGCAACTGGGAGCGGGACTATCCACAGCAGCTTGGGGATCACACAAATCAGATTGATCCACAAGTCTTTCTACGGGTACTTTAACCACATCACGGCGGACCCCAATGTCCGAGACCAAACGACTGATGCAATACATGCCACAACTCACAGCTGCCAGACCGCTAAAACTGGTCGTCAAAAATCTAAGCGGAGAGGACATGATAGCACTTGTAGCTGCCAGAAAAGCTGCTGCTTGCCCACTTCGGCCTACGCTAATTGCCGTCACCACAAGCAGACCCGTTTTACAGTAGACAGCAAAGTCCTCACAGTTGTTCTTGAAAAGGTTGTAGCCTCCAAAGCCATTCTGGAGGAGGAAAAAGGCACGGTGAAGCGCATCTTCAGGGGGGTCGGATTTTGCAAGGGTGCAAGTCCCTCCTCGAGCTTTAGCAAGGTAGAAAGCAGGGGACACGCCGTATTCGAAGAGGTAGAGGTTTCCACCTGAAAGGAAGCAGTCAATGCACGAAGCGATGACACCATCAAGTCTCGACTGATCTCCACATATCTGGCATTGCGTGCCCACGGGAGGAGAGGGAGAAGAGCTGAAAATGATGCGGTCTAACACAGTCCCTGTGCCGATTTCGTGTCCTGCCCCTCGAGTGAAGTGAATAACCTTCTCTTCACCAACGTATATTCCTGTTGGCGAACTTAAAAGAGACAATCTTTTCAGAATGCGAAAGCATCTAAGTCCATAGAAGGTACGTGCTTGCAAAGAACATAATCCGGACGATCAAAAGACGGGAAGAATTCGATCTCCTTCAGTTGACAGAATAACTAACAATACAGAAATAGCAAAGGAAGCACAAACTTAGCAAAGACGGACAAAGGGGAGGCAGAGTTCCAAAAGGGTCTAGGGGTTTAGATCTCTCTGCCATTGAAAGTGACTACTCATCACAAAACATCTCCTTTCATAGAAGAATCAGCAACAATGCCACAATCTGTATAAGCATAACTTGTAAAACAGGATGGAAAATCCACCGATAGAAGGAAAACGACCTCTCTCACAGACCCACAAAGGCAAAGCTCCCATATGTCAAACTAGGGAAGGGCATTATCAATCATGCGAAGAATCAAGCGAAATTATTAGGAAAAAAGGAGATGAATCGGGGCGAAATCATCTTCGCCATCATCATCACGAATAAGATCGAAGGGGGAAAAAGCGAGAGAAAGGGAACTTGCCGTGGTGGGCGTAGAGGTAAGAGAGGCGCCAAGAGTAGATGTGATCGCCAGGCTTGAGTTGGTCCCTCTCGATCTTGTTGGACAGCACTCCCATCTCTGCCTCCCCTTCTTCTTTCTCTCTTCTTCTTCTTCTTCTTGTTCTTGTTCTTCACCCTGGGTTTCGATTGGATCGATTGCGATATGAATGTTTGGGTGGGAGACGCAAACAGTCAGAGATTGCTTCGCCTCTACGGCTATCTCCCCCCCGCTCCCGTTGTCCTTGGGAGAACCTTTGAGAAACGTTTATGGGAAAAGAACAGGAGGTTGTCCCGGTCCTCCATTTTGTCCCCTCTTTGTAGATTCGTCCTCACGACACCTTTTTTTTTTTCTTTTAATCTCAGTCGTGTCCCTGCCACTTTTTGGAATATACCCTTTTGTTATTCTGCTCATATTCCAGTGTCCCTTCCAATGAATCCTAGATTGACGCTAGTCCATCCTCAGTCAACAACCTCTTACTTCAAATAACCAGATTTTCAGTGAGCATTTTGAACTAAAGTCCAATGGTTAATTCAGGATACCTTTGGTGTCTCTGATTGTGTAATGCACAAAGACGACAGTCTTTCATCTCAAACGCTTCAAATTTGTCTCTGTCATTGCCAACCGTCTTTGAAGAAACAACCAATCCACAACCGCTGAATTTTCAGGCCAAAAACTCGTCACCACAATTGCTTCTGCTCAATTTGTACTTCAGCTTACATCAACTGAGTTGATACGACTTGTTCAGTAATTACATTCGTGTGACAATCTGAGTCCTCATTTTACGTTATTCGACCATGGAAGACAGCCTTCGGTGCTATTTCAAAAGATGACATCAAGGGAGGATTTTTCCCGAATTTCCACCTTTTTGTGTTTGTTAGTGTATGATTCGATTTGAGTTTTGCGTTTCCGCTGCATGAGTGAGTATGAGAAATCGAAGAAATTTCTGCATCACATGGAGGAAATCATTTCATCAGAGAACCCATAGCCCAATGGCATTGCTAAGTGTTGCTGCTGCCATATCGTTGAAATCAAGCTCAGTATATTGCACCAAGCCTTTCTTGAGCTGAAAATTTCGCTCCACTGCTCTTAAAATGACTGCATATCTTACAACATTTTCAATCTCAGGCGCCCTTTAAATGTGTATACATACTTTGGATTTCTTATTGTGTCTTATCCTTTGTTAAAGACATTGCAATAAACACAAACTCGAACCATTTTTTTTGTGAAAACATAGAGGACCGGTATTTTCTGTTCCATATTAATAAATGGCAATTTCTGCACAAAAGCGATTATATTACATGGTAGACCAATCACTCGTCAGTCCTGGACGAAAATCGGCCTGTAATCATCTTCTGAATGATCTTTGCAATAAAGAATGAATAAATGCTTCTGTCTCTGTATGATTTTCTATTGTCTTCGCCAGTCATTCGTCTTGTTGGCAGGCAGAGGCAGGGTTAGAATTCTACAATCTGAACTGTCTGCCAGAAATGCCATTGCCAATAGCCTGAGCAGCTTTGTGGCTGCCATCTCAAGATCCAAAAGAGCTCGGATGTTTGATGCCAATTCTTGCAGCAACATTAGAAATTCCATGAAGTATACTACCCAAAATTGTAAAGCAAGCTCCTAGCGTGTTGTTGGGATGAGTAACCCCTACTGGAAGAGTTGCACATACAGTCAGGAATAGGGTACTTTGTAACATCTCTCCCAACTTTGCTTGTTCTGAGTTCTGGTTGACCCAAGGAGTCTCGGTGCAACTCCCGCATGATTCTGTTGAACTCTGGCTCAGGGAGAGATGTATTCAAGAAGTAAGGGAGCATATGCCGCTTATTAGGTGTTATGTACTTCCTATGACCGGCATAGGCCCTCTGCCCCTGTTTCCAGAAACATTTGTCAGTCAAAAAGAGACGAGAAAAGGGAAGCTGTCCGGTGACAGCTAGTGCAAGATAATATTAATTCTGTCCAGTATCAAGTTGCTCAACAAATGAGAAATAGGTGGTTCTCTTTTTGTGACAGATTTTTAAACACCTTTACAAATCAGGTTTTTGGAAGCCTTCTGTTGCATACTTCCTAAATCATGAAGCAATGGGTGTCGTTAACTATGTGGTAGAACTAGTCAGCTAGACCAATGATAAATGCTGTAGTACCTGAAGAGCATGGCCCATATTCCCCCCATGAGATGGCATGAAGACGTCACTCCTCTCACATATAATGAAGTCAATGGAAGCCATAAAGGAGGCTTTGTTAGCAAAGGGTTCCAATTCCCCGGGTAATGCAATATCTTGTTTGCTGTAGAAATGTGGAAATTCTTTGGTGAGTGGCGACAATGCTTCTTTCCCACCAAGTGGCTGCCCGCCAGCCCAGTAGATTCTTGCATTCTTTGGGGCACCTAGAGCCTTAAGCAACCTAAGAGGACAACCGATACTTCAATTACTAGAGACATACCCAATAAAACAATGGCGAGATCTCAAAACCTACTGGACCTGTTTATGCTTGATTAGGAAGTATATAGAGCAAGTGATCACCTGGCAACCTCTAATGCATTCAAGGGGCAGAGACCCGCAAGCTTTCTTTCATGACAGGTGATGTTTGATTTGGCAGTTAGGAGCTCGGGGTGCCGCTTCCTCTCCCTATCTATCAATTCATCATACTCGGGGCTCAAACCCGGAAGGCAACCTGTCCTCACCCAAACATCCTTCTCCATCCGCAAATGAAGAGCAATGTAGGGTCCCTTGCTCTGCATTCTCTCTGCAAGCTTGTTGCCAAGCCCCAATATTCGTGGTGCAAACTTCAATGCATGAAAGGCGACCTGTGGCGAACAGAGAATACAATCATGCATCGCTTTGGAGGGTCTGAAGTACTAGATGGATCTAAAAATTTTCAAGAAGAAGAAAGCCAATTTTTCTGTGAAAGTTGAACATTAACCCTGAATCTCAAGCCCACTTTCCTTAGGATAAAGAGACAGAATGAACGGAATTACGTGGGGGATAAAAATGATTTTTGTCAGCAAACAAGTCAAGGCTTGTTCTTGTAACAGTTAAGGTCTCATCATTTTAGGGTGATCCATTTTGATCTGCAATAGAAACAATCATATCTAATTTCAACCAAGTTAAAGAATAGGCAATTTTTTTTTTTAGTTTGTGCTTTCGTTTTCCAACTAGCATATATTTCAATCTCCAGCTGTCACTTCGATTTTGAGTAATTGCCTATCTGTCTGAAGAAGCAGAACATTGATTGGGAGTACCTTGCATCGAAGCTTTTGAAGATCAGAAGGAAGATCCTTAGATAGCCTGGAATCTAGACCCCGCAAGAGCAGAACCCCCACCTTCTCGAGCTGCAAAAATTCACGGACATGTACATCATTCAGTTTTCCTTATAGTCACTGTTGGCAAACTTATCTTTCCTTTTTGTTGTTTTTAACTTTTGAAAAACCACAAAGCCGAAGTTCAACACAAAGTATATGATCCAAATAAAAATGACACTTTGAATTGATCATCGCATCTAATTTCAAGCCAATTAATTGAGGGAATTCATCCAAATCTGAAGGCCAACCATACTGATAACAAAAACGGAGATAATATCTACAATATTCATGAACAGCCAATCAACCACTAAGGACGGCTCGTTTAGACATTTGGCTACAACCGAGTACACATATATGATCCCCTATTAACAGACACAAACTTCGGTGATGTCTTTGTTAGTCAACTGCAAATTGTTAAAAGAACAATTTCATTTAGGACAAAAAGAGGCAAAACGGGCTGTATTTACCCTTTTGAGATAATGGGAGCGAATCCAGTTAGCAGAGATATGGAGTGAAGTCGGTCTCTCGGCCACCGGCCTTGTTCTTATATGAGTGGAGGGCAGAGATGAAATCACGCGTACATCATTGGCAAGGACTCTCTTGAAGTGATCCAAGTCGAATATGTCTGAGAATTCACTGAAAGAAAATCACGACGATGTGCACTCAGTTACTGAATTTTTTGGTTGGGGGGAATAGCCGATGACCAGAAATACTTTAACCATGAATCCTGTTTTTTGTTTCATTGTTTGGTTGGTATGAAGACGGCATGAAATTTCCAACCAGTTCCTTGTAACGGGAATATCTATGGATAATTATTCTATTCTCGACCTATGGCGCATTTGTGAGCTGAGGAAAGAACTAGGTACCTGTCGTCGCCCCAGATGACATTGACTTGGAAAACTGGAACCACAAGAACGGCCTCGAGAATCCTGGCAATGACGACAGCATCCACAATCTGATTGCGCTGCTGGTTGATCCCGCCGGACACCACCATCATCACATACTTTCGCCTCTCCTTCACAATTCTCTCGCTCCTCCGCCTGTAATCCTTGCTCCACTCCAAGCACCCCCTGTACCCCATTCCCTCCGGTTGCTTCCAGAAGGAGTGCTCCTCTTCTGCTTCTTCTCTGGGCTCCACCAATGTATAATTATTATAATGATAAGGCTCTGTTCTTGCTTGGCTGATGGCCTGGTTATCTAAAATGTGATGGTGACTACTTGCAGTTGGGGAAGTAGCACAAGGGTATGAAGAGAGAGGAAGGAGGCCAATCCCGAGCATGCCGAGCAGGGCCATGAGGAATAGGGCCGAGAACCATAACTTTGGAGATTTAGATGACGACTTACACTGAAACGGCTTGGCCTTCTTTGATGAAGGTGATGGGGAAGGAGGAGGCGGTTTCTTTGGTAATACGAGAAGAGATTGAAGATATGATGAGGAGAGGGAGTTGATTATCTGAGATGGAACTGTAATGTATGACACTGAGAGCTTCTTCTTTGGCTTGCTCATTCTTCACACACACAGACACACAGAAAAGAGACTGGCTCCTATTTCCTTCCCCCACAAGTCAGAACAAGTTATATATTTTCTTCTACGTGCCCAGCTCAATGCTTGTCTACAAACACAGAGAGATAGATAGAGAGAGAGAGAGAGAGAGAGAGAGAGAGCAGGCGGGTGTACGTGAAATGATTATTATTTTTCTTCAAAAGAACAAAGAGTCGTGTTTAGGACATTTTGCAAGCAGGTCTTCCTACAGAAGGATGGGAGCTAGTATCCTCTATATTCATTTGGCTGTGAATAATTGGAGTACGCTTGTGCATTTATTATTCTAATAATGAAATAATAATAATAATAGTCTTGATTGCTCAATCAGCTATTTTATTTGCTTCTGGACGGTCGAAAGAGATGTCTCAATTGCTCCTGCAAATGCAAATTGACATTTCCACCCCTCTCTTTCTCTCTGCATTGACCCAGCAAGAGCCGGTGGTGCTTGTGAACATTGAGCTGTCTGGGTGTAAATTCTAATCTCTGCTGCCTTTGACTCCATCTCGAATATTTTGGTTCTGGCTACAACTATTACCGTCCAGCAGGCTTAAAACTTTTGGCAATAATTATCTAATAGATTTTCCAGAATTACTTTCTCGAAGTCGAGCTGGTTTAGAATAGATTTGTCGGAGTATAATAGTGATTAAAATGCAATTTATTTGCAGTGGGTTCTGCTAAGGCAAATTCTCTAAGATATACCTCTAAGAGTGGGTAGTCAATGATAAGAGGGCCAGGACTTTGATGATGTAGAAAATGAGATAGCATGAACTTTTTGGGGGATCTCTCCTCTAGTGATAGCCCATTACCCTCGTGTCGCATCCCAAGTCTAGCTCCACAGAGAAAAGGAAAACCCCCCATTGATAACGGGGTTTTATCTTTGGGGAGTGGTTTACTTGAGAGGCAAGAATGGGCGGATGGGGGACAATCACCCATGATTCACAGCAAGACCTCCTGGCTTTTCATTGTCAAATCATTTTGGGGAATGTCTTACGCTGGAATCTTTGGAAAGTTTCTCATTTTCATTTATTAATACTCAACACTGCTTTACATGGCCGAATGGGATTTGCCCACTTTTGCGAGCCCCAATATAAGAGAGTAAAGAGGAAGAAACCTGCCTCTCGATTTCGGTTGACAAACTTCAGCCAACCTCTTTTGGACATTAGTTGTGTCATTATTCTTCCTTTTTCCACATAACCCATCTTTTTAAAACCCTTCAAGCTTCTTTTATGTAGCCATCCCTGAGCTTTTTGTAATGATGTACGCTGCTGGATCAGATTAAATCGGAGAACTAGCTAGATAAGTCTTTTGGTCTATCAGCTCATGATTTGCTAAACTGTTCAGTTCTAGTTTTTAAATAGGTACATACATACATATATTCTCTTCCCGCAACCTAGGTTGATGGCACGAATATGAGATTTATTCCACTAGGTCATGTGGGAATCGAACCTGCATCGGACACTTTTCACACGCACGCGTTTGTCTCTTAACTAAAGTCAAAGGTTAACCTTTAATGAGTTTTAGCTAATTATAGAGTTTGGAATCAGAATTTTCTGTTTAGAGTCGTTTAAACCTTTTTTTTTTTATCACACACCTTCTAAATCTCACATATCCAACAAAATTTACAAAAATAGACGAAATAAACCGAAGGCAAAGGAAGCAATTATCTCAAGTAGTCAACGCATAGATGACTTTCAACATGATGTGCCTTTTTCACTCTCACTTTATCAAATAATGAAGGAAAATTCACTGAGACAGAACTCATTTGGTGAAGTTAAAGGAGGAAGTAGAATAATGCTGGTAGGAATGTCGTGCATTCACGGATAAGTAAGATAAGGGGGTAATGCACGGGTCATGGCATTATTCAATCGAAGTCTAATGCATGACATATTATAATCGCCATCATGCAATTAGCGGATAAGCAAGCATTTCTTAATGCTAATGATTGATCGTGTAGTGAACGTGGGAGATGTTACTTGAACGACGAAGATGCCGGCAGTTTCAAACTTCTAAAAATGTGGTAAAGTTACTTACTTGCATCTTAATAATTGTAATGATGATGCATGCAGTCTAAACATCCCATTTTAGCCTCTTTTCTCTGAATCGGGAGACCAATGCTTGTAGAGTGAGAAAATATGTTAGTCGATTTCAAAAAGTCCTACGCCTATTATATGGTGGTCAATTTAGTTATAAACTCTTCGATTTTGCTAATTTAGTTCTTAATTTTTTTATGATTTGTCAATGTAGTCCTCCGACCAATTTCGGTCGAAAATCACTAACATGGATGCCTGCGGTCTTACGTGGCATGGCCGGTTAGTGCTGATGTGGAACGTCACTTAGCGATTTCTAGTCAATTTTGGTTGGAAGGACAAAATTGATAAATTATTAAAAGGTTTAGGAATAAATTGATAAGTCGTAAAAAATGTTTATGCCTAAATTGGCAAGTCGTCAACAAATTTAGGACTAAATTGAAAAAATTTAAAAGTTTAAAATTGAATTGGTCACAATGCAATATGTTAGGACTTTTTGGACAATTATCTCACAATGCATAGTTCCTAATCATGATGATGCGACAAATTGCGTGCCTCACTACTTTTTCCATCACATTTTGGACACCGCTAACTCGGGCTCTTCCCATCTGACAACAAGCTGATCATACGAATACATGCATCGCACATAATTCTTATCGTGCGGATGATCAATTTAGATGGACAAAGCCATCGCGGTTCGGCAAGGGCCGGAACATCTCAGTTTTTCCTCTTTTGAACCATCTCACTCGAAGTCGGGTTTGTCATTACTTAACCACTTCCGTTTAAATAACTTGACTCACGTTGTTGAAATACTCAATCTCGTGTGATTAACTTAACATAATAATGGAGATGATGTGACATCACAGCGAACTAATCAGGCTCAAGAGAGAAGTTGAATGAAGTTTCGGTGACTTAGGTGAGGGTAGGTGTCCTGCTCTTACTAGCTGTCCCGTTCTCCACTTGTTTAATGGGTCGTCGTCGTCACGCATATGTATCGGCCAATAAGCAGGAGATGCCGCAAATTAGTCAATTTTTCCCCCAGAGCAAAACGAACAAGCAACCATCGATTTCTTCTCCTTCCGCTCCCCCACCTTCTTCGTGGCGGGTTAGTTTTAGAGAAATCACTCTCAGAGAAAGAGACCATTGACTTCTCTGTGTTATCATTCAAGGCGTTTCTCTCTTTAAGACCTAAACGTGTTATGAATGGACACAACGCAAGGTTGTCATCATGTTTCAGTACCGATTTTATTAGGAACTTTAGGAAAGCAAGGAAGAGATTGAATGAGAGCAGAACTAGGGGATCATCACATCTAGGGAAAAAATTACCAAAAAAGTCCTAAACATATTGCGCTTGTATCAATTTAATTCTAAACTTTTCAATAACGATGCCACGTAGGATGACTAGCGTCTACGTCAGCAATTTCCAGCCAAAATTGACCGGATAGACTAAATTGACAAATTTTCAAAAGACTTAAGATTAAATTGGCCAAATTAAAAGGTTTAAAATTGAATTGGCACAAGCGTAATATGTTTAGGACTTTTAAAATAATTTTTTCTCATATTTAGTGAAGATTAACTCTTTCATCCATCAGATAATTTGAATTGTATTATTGGTTTTTTAGAGTCACCCCGTTGAAAGAAGGAACTTAATCCAATTGGCCGAGTTTAGAATATCAGAATATCTTGTAGTTGAGCATACCATAATGTTTTTTGATTTGTACCTTGTACTCCGTGGTTGGTAGAATTTTGGATTTGTTGGTAAATTTTCCAATGCCGTTGGTAAAAACCAGTATGATCGGTAACTTGTCCGGTAACTTGTTAGCTTACCAACATTGTTATGAATCAACTAATGTCCAAACGAATTGGTAAGTTACTAAATTCTTTTAAAGTATACAAGTTTATTTAAGTAAAGTGCTAATGTTATAATGAATTGATTTTAAATTTATCAGTGTGGTTAGTAGACTGCCAACATTATAATGAATTTACCAACATCTTGATAAATTAATTAATGATAAATTTGGAAGTACCATGAATACGTGAACAGCGAGGTAGAGCCAAGATTGCCAATATAATTAGATATCACCAGACAACTAGAGTTGGATATCATTATATCAACAATATGGATATCAGCAAAGCTTATATGCGGAAATCATCAGAGCAGTTAATCTTTTCAGATTCTATGCTGAGATTGAATATCATCATATTGCAAAATCTACTCTTGGAAATATTCAGACACAAAATATCAAACATTACAACTATTAATCTGGCTTGGATTTCCTATATAGAAAGTAACGATTGACATTCAATTTTAAAGATTGTTTTGCAATGACATTTCTTATGCAAGACATCTTGAGTGACAATCACTCCCAAAACAATTTACCTTCCTTAATCGAAGAACTTTACTTATGGAAACTGAATCTTTGCTTGGGCGACCAAATCAACGGGGAATTCGTTCTTATCTCTCAACGGCTACTCAATCTTCATCATGTGATCTCGTCCAACAGGTTGATTAGAGAGTGATCCTTTGAAGACTGCACAATGGGTAGATTGGAAGTGGAGGAATATAAAAGGAGACCAAGTGCCAAAGAGAAGAGAGAGATCAAGGATAAAAAATTCCAAAGTGCAAGAGAACTTCGATCTTTCATACATGTCTTTCTGAGCTACAAATTGTAGTCATTGAGAGGCATTGAGTATTATCACTCACTTTTGTAACCTCTTATTGATTGACTAGTGAAATCTAGCCAGTAGGCTCTTAGCACTGGAGAGTGGATGTAGGCTTGCTCTAAATCGAACCACTATAAATTTTGTGTGCAATTTCTTCTATTGCTCAACTCTTGCTTATTACTTTTTACAAGTTCACACACTTGTGATTATCATCATATCACCGTCAATATTCAGAATCCGACTTCAATTGATTTTGATAATATTCAACTTGATTGTCTTACTTCCACATTAAAATTTCAAGTTGTTTTAAAATTACCTATTCACCCCCCATTAGGTGATATTGCTAGCTACAACAGTTTGGTCACTAGAAGTGGCATGCTACATCGACCTAACTCATGTCTGTT